AAAAACTTCGGTTTCTATAAGTTGGAGTTAACACGTTAATAGTTAACATTTGGTGCCAAACATGTTCAATGGGATTAAATATGCAGTAGTAAGGAAGCCTTAAAACTGTATGCCCTAGATTTTTTGCATAATTATCACAGACGTATTCCTTTTGTAGGTTCAAGCTTTGTAGAACCTCAATTAATTGCTTTTTGGTATAATATTCGTGAAAATAAATGTCGTTATTATACATGTAGTTTTGGATGGTTGCTTTTGTGTCACATGAGGAACGGGTTTTAGTCAACTGTCTACTGTGATAACTTGTATAATGTTGGCATTTGTTGTTCTTTGTAAATCCTAACTTTCCATTAAAACTTGCCTTTTGTCAATTTTTTTAAATCTGAAACCCATGTGTTGAATACATAAGGCAGTTTACACCACATTTAACACCGGTTTCATCTTTTTCAAGCCTCCTAATTAAGATATCTAATGTAGGCACGCTTTGTTCCTCGTATAACTGGTAAATTTTACGCCGTATTATATCTTGATCGCTTTCATCTACACTCGAGAAAATGTCAGCACCGCTTCTTTTTTTCCTCGCTGAAGTGGGATTATTCACAATTTTCCATACAGTTGATGTTGGAATTTTCGTCAATGTGGCTGTTTCTTCAAAAGATGCTTGCTTGCTGGCACCACGTTCAATGAGAGTCAAATAAACATTGTTTATAACTTTCTTAGTCTCAATGGAATAGTGTTTTCTACTAAAATTATTTTCTATTACGGACCACAATTTTACCAGAATTTAAATTCCGAAACTTTAGATAATAATCTTGTTGCATTGAATGTTAATGACCGACCACCCTTGGATAATCCCATTCAAAAGCAATTGGTCACTTTCTATATCTATGAACAGACCATACCTCTTGCCGAATTACGTTTATGGTACTATCACTAAAATTTGGTGCGGTGTTATTTCTTCTTACATGCGCTTTCAACTCAGACCAAATCATCTCAATCAGGTTAAATATATTAATGATACTTGACTAATCTCAAAGTTTCATGTCCATTTTATTGTGCTATCGAACCGCGAATATAACCTATAGTCTTAAAAAAGACTGTTGTTGTTTACAAATCGAAGACCTATGAAGAAGACACAAAAATACATGAAGAAGAATGTTTTTAATCGACAGGTACACAAGACAAAGTGATTATTCTCAAACTTACCTGTAATATAAATAAAATCAGGTACTTACCCTCACCCTTAAAACTATCCAGTAAAAACAGCCTCCCAGGGTCAAAGTTCTGGAATCAGGTACATAAATACTTAATAAAATACTGAAAACGTCAAAGAAATAAATGCCAGAACATTATTGGCCGTACAATAAAGAAAACCTCCCCAAATCGACAGTCATCGAGCAAAAATCCCACGTTCCAGATTGAAAACCAGCTCCATTGCAGACTTTGAGAAAGGAAACCACAAAAAATAACTCAACCCTACTTTTTCTATTCGATGCCGATGAACTTACCGAAACTACACCTTATACCTCGCTACCTAACTTTTAAACTTAGCGTTTTATGGTCGAATTCGCTGAAATTCTGCCGAAAATGCATTTTCTCACAATTTTAGTAATTAAAACTAGCTCAAAGCTGCAGTGGTTACCCAGAAACCTTGCTTTTCGGATTGAACACTAGCTCGAAAATCACTAAAAAAAAGTTAAACTCCACTTTTTCCTGCGGATTTCTATTAAACTACGGTCAAAATCTCTTTTTCAAACCTGGAGTTATCAACTAAAAACCTCACTTTCCGCATAAAACACTAGCTCGCACGAGAATTTTTGCTGAAAAAATCACTAAATACACTCCACATTACCTTGCAGGGTTCTATCACACTACAGTCAAAATCACCTTTTTGATCAATTTTGTGATGATATGAACCAAAAACTACACTGAAAGGCCACGAAAAATAAAATATAGGTTTTAGTTAACAAGTTAGCGAATTAATTGCTCAACTTTCAGAGCAATATCGATTCTGAACTTTTAACCAAAAATTCGGTACGGTGGCTTGCGGCTTTTTAGAATAATTATAAAAGTCGTGAGCAATGTTTTAATTTTTTAAAATTTTTTAAAGTGTCTCTATTACAGCATAAGAATCTTCTGACAGACAGAACTTTCTATATAATCTACAGTTTTTTAGTCACTTTCTATGTTTAATTTTGATTCTTGTAAAGGTTTGCTCTATTCTAATAATCCCCTCTTTTATTTACTTCCTTGGGTGTATCACATTCAAAAAAGGAAACCAGTGGTGCAATAATGAGCATTACAATCTTAAACATTGATTTGAGCAAAAATCACTATTAATTTTTCCGCCAATCACGATCATGTTTGTCGATCTAAATTTCAGTGCATACCGTACTTCATTGGTTGCTAGATTTGTAACTTCTCTCAGTCCATAGAAACTTAGTTATCTCTCAGTATTAAGTAATGATAGATAACACTCCACAATTGCAATATGTTATTTAAAACATTTTTTGAGTAGTTAATTCAGAAGTGGTCAATTGACCAGTCAATTAAGAAGTGGTCAATTGATCATCAATTGACCAGTCCCAACACTATATATGACATATCTAATAAAAAATGTAGGTTTTTGTAAGATCTTTCTGAAAAATAATAATTCCATCAGTGAATCAATACAATCAATGTGTCAATGGAAAAATATGTTGACAATATATTGCGGGATATCATCCGTTCGTTTGTTGAACTCTGGAATCCTACTTGGCATATTCAATGCTCGCGTTCCGAAAACACTTCGAACACTGAGTGAGTGAGTTCTAGAATATTGTTTAATGTTGCGTTTAAGTTAACAAATATTTCGAAAACTCTTGAATTTAGGTGTAGGATACAGGCATTAGGATATAATAAGATATTAAGGAATATTATTATACGAAATGTTCTTTCTTTCTTCCTAGGCTGGATGTTTGTTGAAATTTTTCATAGATTGGATGAGAGTTTTTTTTGTCTGAAACGTGCAACCTGGGGTTAATTTCACGTAGTTTCCTTTGAGTCAATTTAGCTCTCTGGTTAAATAAACGTTTCCAAAATTTATTGATTTCCTCTTTGCGAATAAGGCATTTTATATATAATAAAAGGAGCATAGTTTTGCTAATTCTGCAACTGTCACTGTCAGTTATAAACAAACATTTTGTTTCATGGTGACGACCTACTTCACAGCCACCTAAGATGTAAATTATAAATTCTAGAATATTAATTTATTTTTTAATGTTAATGTTTTTGTATATATAATACACAAGGTGTCCCATTAAAAAATATATAACTTTTATCTGTGGTTGATTTCTGCAACGCCCTATATTAAAATATATTTTGAAAATAGCTTACTATTTTTAGAAGTGTATATATAAAATTCCTATTTTTTATAGTTTTATTCCTTTATCAATAAAATTATTAAACACAAAAAATGAAGGTAAAAAAAAATCTCTCATTATTTATAGAGTTTGACTACGAGTTAATCAGTTCTTATAGTTTGTATAATCTAAAGTTTTGAAATAACGGTTTTCAGTAGCCGCAGGTTATATGATTGCAACAAACAAAAAAATTTGTTAACTTGAGATTATTAATTTATCTGTCAATGTACCGAGTTTTCTTTATGTCACCTAAATCGGTTCAGTGTCATTTGTTTTAAATTCCGGTAAGAAAAAAAAGAAGAAAGAAAATCTATCAAAATCAAAAGTAACAAAAAATGACACTATCAATCGCCAATTGTGAAGTCTTTTGGTTAAGATCCGATGGGACAAATGCATTTGTTGAAATAATTCTTTTTTGCAATTTAATTAGTTTTTCAATTTTTCATAAAATAAGTTAAAAAAAACCGCAAAACTAACATGGTTTTAAAGGGAATCTAATTCTCCCTCAAAACAGGCCACTAAACATGTAGATAGGAAGTTATTTTATAAAATGTGTACCTAAACATTTTTTCACCACTCTGTATAACATTAAAATAATTATGAATGAATTATGAGCAAATCATTTCATATTATAGGGTGTAAACATTTTCAAAAATGCAGTCTGTATTATTTAATTTCTCGAAATTTCTCATTTCAATAGGAAAAAATATCTTTCATTTGTACCCTTTTTTGTCGCGCTGTATATTTAAAAAATAATATTGAAATATGCCTTTTATGGGTTCCAATAATACTGTGCTACAAAAAACGAGATGAATGTGATGGACCACCGTATATGTGTCAAAATTGTGGCACAAAAAAAAGTTGAAAATGGTATGGACTATTCATTTGCAAATTTGAACTTGTTGAATATCTATGTCCGCCATCTTGACGGATGTCGACAGTTCATTAGATGTTTACAGTATTGCCAACTTCCTTTTAGTTTATGAAATACAGAGTGATTTTTCAAAAATCAACCAACAACTTGATAAACAGGAAATAGAAGAAAGAATTTTAAACATCTGAAAGTTAGTAGTTACAATTATTTTTTGGTTATGATAAGATCATAAAAATTGTTACTATTTTTATTATTTTACGATGGGCGACCCTGCATGAGAAAAATGTTGGCAAATTATTAATTAATACAGTTATCAGTAATAATCATTAATGCATATTTTAATTAATTAATATCTTAACAAAAGAAACTAAAATAAACTATATGCCTGTCAAAATTAGCGACACCACTTTGAGCACTTAAGTTTGCTATTTTTTCATTAAAATCGATTTGTACCCAAATTTGTTTTTTTTTTTAATTAGCATCTCTAATTCTCACAATTTCTTAGAAGAGTCCAGGTTTGAGTAAGGAAATGCAACAGTAACTTACCTTTATTTGTCATATACTAACTAAAGATACCAAAAATATATATGGTGTTCCATAACAAACAATGTAACTTTGGAATGCACCTTTTTTTGAATCACAGTGTATATTTCAAAATCATTTTGAAATATGGAGTACGGTATGGTTTTCCTGTTTTCATTTCCCGTACAATTTAAAACTCTTAAGGATCATAGAAAGAAGTTTTATATTTTCCCTAAATACAGACCAATGAAAATCCATCAAATCCAAATAGACCTTTGTACAATAGCACTATAGTTTATTTTTACAATACAAAAAAAAATATGTCCCCAATAACTCAGGACCCTGTAAAAATTATCTCGATTCTGGCTTATTTCTGGGTGGTTTGAATGTTTTTATCTTTTTAGCGCTGGACTTTCCTTTGGCTTGAAAATTCTGCCAGCTGTTCACTCTATTTTGGCGTGATTCCTAAAAAAATCACACATATAGCAAAATTAAAGGAAGAGGAGGCGCCAAGTTTTACTTCAAAGTTCTTCTGCCACTCTTTCTGTGCTTTCTGATTCTCCTCCTCTTCAATTTCTTGCTCCCTTTTCCTTTTCCTTTCCTCTTGATCCCTATCGGCGAGTTCACGTCTTTTCCTCTCTAAATCTGCAAAAAGTTTCATTGTCAAAACATAAACCGCGTGTTTATACTTTTCTGGATCATCTTCGGGTATGGTCGATTTGCCATCTTTTTTAGCTTTTTTACGCTTCTCTGCCAGCTGCGAACCAACAATTACGTTACATTTGCCATCTAAAGACACAGTCCAACAGAATCAGAACCCATAGTAAAAGTATAGGTTCCGGTTCTGTCGGTCTAACATAACATAAAACTAAGTAATACATAACATACTAACCATGAGATCCGTTCTCCCCACTGCTTCTTCAATAATGTCCATGCATTTCTTTCTGCTCTCTTCATTTTCTAAAGTTTTCCACGCCTTATTTACAGCCTCGAACGCCTGCTGCGCCCGCTCGGCATCATCCTGATTCTTATCAGGATGCACCAGAATCGATAAACGTCTATACTTTTTCTTTATTTCTTCTAAAGGTGTATCAGGTTCTACTTGCAAAACTTCAAAGGGATTTAAATTTCTATAGGTGGAGCCGGGTCTTAATAAGCGCTCTATTTGCTGCTTGGGCGTCAAAACAGAGTCCCTCTTTTCTATTTCCTTTACCTGTAAACGCGGTAAGTCGATAATACCACGACAGTAAAGACACAACGCAAATGCGAACCTCTGTGTAGAACGAATTGAACTTGGAATCCTTCTCGCTACTGCCGCTGCCGGACATCCTTTTAAGTTTAAAATTCTGGTAATTTCAGACCCAATATTAACAAAAATAAATATTATTGGTAATTGTTTGGTTGAAATATCTGCTTTACAAGACACATTCTTCTTCTTTTAATGCTAATGTCACTCTTCTTCTTCTTTTGAGGCCATTGAGTGGCCACTCGTCCGCGCGCATACCCAGAGTTTAGGCAACCGACGTTGCCTACTCGCTCTTTCCGGTAAGTCGGATAGTATTTAATTCACCCACCGAAGCTATTGTATTTGTAATTTACCTGTGTCGCGGAGGAAAGAAAGCGTCAGTCAACCAACAAACCAACGGTCGGCTAGGTGTGGTCAACTGGGGTCATCTTAGTCATGTTACTATAAACATTGTAGGTATTAGGATATTTTTTCCGGAGCCTAGTATTTTCGTTTGCGGAAAATGAAGTGCTGGAACTTGTTAATAGGCATTCTGGGATTTATCGCTGGCTTGGATACCTGTGAGTACTATTTATTTTTGTTCGACTCGTTTGTTTTGATTGTCGAAAGTGCTCGTTAAGCATTTGAGTAAAATTTTTCGTTAAATTTGTAGCCTTTGCGCACTTGTCTTAAGCTGGCAGTGCTTATTTCGTACGTAAGAAATTAAAAACAAAGACTGAGATAATTAAAAAGGAACACGGAGATGAGTAAGGTAGTTTGTATCAACAAATCGTAAAAAAAAATAGTATTGTTAAAAAAACGTTCAGTAAAAATCGGAAAAATCTAAAGTTTTAAAAAATTAGACTATAAATAAACAATACAATAAAATAGATTTTGCTACCATCTTACGGGTTCTGTAGTTACTCGATGTGGACCCGTTTGGGACTTCCAAATACATGTTATTTGTATTACTAAATTACTGCTACGAGTCCATTGGTTTAGGTCTTTTTGGTGGTGTTGAAATATTCTCATTTAACAAATCAAATATTTTTGTGCCCATGCTTGGAATGAGCTGTCATTAAAAGTACATTTGGAAAAGAGAAATTTCAGAATTTCTACCTGTTTTAATGCCTTTCGATGTATTAGGTATATCATGCTGTTATGGCTTAATGAGTTTATGAGTATTCCGAATAAATAGGAAATTAATAAATGCAATTCAGAACTCGAATATTCTCTTTTCTGTTGTTAGTTTGGTCCTTAAATATGATTGTTTAAACAAAAAAGCGGATGAAGTTAAATTTCTCATTTGTTTTATTTCTATTCATTCTGCCAAATGTAATTTACATTTTTTTATTCACAAATAATTATATGATTGTTTTTTTTAATTAAATTTTTATAAACCATAGTTTACTAATAAGCAATAGCGACTAAAAAATAGAACAAATTTATTTACAAATCAGGTATTGAATTTTAAGAAAAATGTGTCCATCATTTTCTCAGTAAATAGTAGAAGTAAATAACACCGTTTTTTCAAATCCATTTTCGCATTTGCCGAAAATTTCACTAATAATTCATGTAGCATACCCAACATACAAAAATTCAATTTTGAAGTGAACAGGTAAGCAGCTAGTACCAGTAAAGCCCTTAAAGTGTCACAGTTGTTACATGACTGGCAGCAAAGAATGCAAATATGTTGCATCTAAATGTAACTCAGAGAACTGAAATTTTAATTTTCATCAAATAAGAACTCAAGAAGTTTTATAATTTGTTTTATGCGGAATATCCAGAAAGACCCTTACAAAATCCACAATAACTTAATTGAGTGAAAATTGATAAAAACAGGGCATGTCATTAGGTGTTGAAAATACCCACCATTAACTTCTTGAGGATATAATGGGTTTAAAACCTCTTTCAAAAATTGCTCAGGATATTTTAATTAATTTGCCTTATTTTCTTTCCAGTTTTAAATTGTGTGGTTTTTCCTTGTACCCTTTTGACTTTAAATATATCCCCGGAGGAAAAAATCTGTCCCTGAAATAGATTAATAATGATATCTAATAATAATAATATATACAGGGCAAAATCTAGCCTCATACTTAATCCTGATAAACTATACTAAAACATAGTTGGTAAAGAATTTTGAAGAGGATTCAAAACTCCTGTCCAAACATTTTTGTTTTCCGAACGTTGTGTATTATTTGTAGTCCAGAACGTACAATTTTGTTTATTTACCGTGCCATTTCAACAATATTTTGCTTCATCACTAAACAGTACTGACAATTTAATTAATTTACAAATTAAATTTCTGTTTTCTATTCTTTTGCTCATGAATAATAATGAACCGGTATAGGGTGCTACTTGAAATTTGACTCACAATTCGAAAATTGATTTTAAAAAATGGGGTTCCGTTTAAAAAAAGGAACTTGGTATCAACGTCTACTCTAAATTTTCTGTTTACTTCAAAAAATGCACAAGAAAAAATTTCGTTGGACGTTTGCGGTAATTTTTTTTTAAATCCAGTACCCGATTTTCTGTTCCATATTTTAGCCGTTCACTCTGTATATTATCGTGTAAAGGTATGCTAGAATGGAAAATAAAACGAGATCATGTAGCAGAGCGTCCGTTCCATTTTTAGTCGCTTTCGAGAAACAATAGGGGGGCGTGATCCAATAAAAGGTTCGGGAAATGGTAAAATGCAAATTTTCGAGCACCCTTATGCGGGAAACTCCCACAGGCCGGCAGTGAAGAGGAGGGCCTCTTTGCGGCAGCCTCATATAATCCTAAAACGAATGCAAGTCAGTTTTCGAAGTTTTGAAATTGATACATTATGTGTTCGGGAAATTTAGATATTTAAATTATTAAAATAAGGCTTCGACTATCACTTTCTCACTGCAAGAACTTTTAGAAAACGCGAGTGCCATTTTGCAACACCCTCTACATACATATTTACTAAATATATAAAAAAAAACACAACACCGGCCATGCGCAGTTATACAGGATGTTTCCTAATTCAATATCGATTCTTAGGGTCATTTTAAAAAGAAAACTTCATATGAACATGTCAGGGTCGTAAAGTTTTCAAAAATTAGTTATTATTTTTAGTTAGTTTAGTTATTATTTTTTAATATCTGTAATAGCATTTCAGACATTTTAATGAAATTTGGCACACCTACAAACAAACATTGATAGCACGCCACCGATTTCTCTTAAAATGAAAATTATTCTTACAACCTCCAATCATTTCTAAAGAAATTTTATTTCTTGATTTTTTTTTAATTGGATGTACGGCTTTCGTTTAAAAAAATAAAAACATTTTCTCTGGATGATTATAACAATATCGTTAATATGACGGGAAGTAATTGTCTCTCTGTTTTATTAAAATACGAATACGAAGTACGTAAACTCTTAGATGAATTTTTGAAATCTTTACAATTATCTCTTATCATTATAATAAGATGTAAGCTGTTTGTAAATTTCCGTAAAATATCTAAAGTGGTATTACAGATATTAAAAAATATATTTTATTTTTGCAAACTTTGCCACTCCGTATCTCAAAAGTTATGCCATTTAGGACACATGTTCACATGAAGTTTTCTTTTTAAAATCGACTCAAAAATCTGCTCGTAACTATTGACATTCACCCTTTATATTTGGTTCGACTACCAAAGAAATAAGAAATTGTCACCTATAGGGCAAACAGGTAAAGTTTTTACAAAACTTATAGGATAGCCCTTTGTTAACTTTTTTTTTGTTCCTTATTCTCGATCTAATAAGCCTATTTTGAATGTAGAAAAAACAGCGTTGCTTGGAATATAAACCTGAGCCTTTTAGTCAGATTCAAAAAAAACTTTCTACCTATTGCTACGTAATATGGAAATAAGAAATTTGGTGTCCATGGATTTTATTCAGGGGAAAATGCATCACAGTCGTTAGAAGTATTTAGATTGCAGAAGCGAATCAGAACAATGTTACTTAAACCTAGGTTTCTGGTCTTTTTTTATAATTATATCTTAATTGTTAAATCTAATCCTAGTAGCTACGAGCTACTTCAAGGAGCAATTTTAATAAATAAGAAATCCCAGGCATAAAGTGTCTACAGTTGCCAATAGTCTAGTTGTTTTGCCGGTAAACTTTTTAATCATTTGCCTTAAACAGACACATAGCGCTGGTGAGTTTAAATACGGAGTAAAAACCAATTTTTTGGACTGTGATAATATTTTGTAATCGTTTTTTATATTTGTATATTATTTTAATATTTATTTATTGATTTGATTTGAATTAAAAGGTTTCAATTTTTGTATTCCCTCCTGCGGGATACATTGAGAAATATATCTGAGACAGATGATTGTGTATGGTATCATAAAAAGTTCAAATTGCTTAAAAAAATCTTTTTTGAAATAAAAATATTCTTCTATTTATATATTTTGAGTATTTATTAATTTATTTATATTTCACAGACCATTCAACAGACAGACGCAGCTACCCAATTACAGATTTGCACAGTATATGTTTATACTAATTAATAAAATCGGGAAAGTGATCAATGAATTTCTTAACTCTTAGATTTAATAAATTATAAATAAATTATAACTACGGGCTAAAGAAGTTTATACATAAATACACATTTTAAACATATCTAGACGGTGAAACCCCCCATAAACGGACACTCACGGGTCCAGTAATTTTGGCCGCTTACGGAGAGTGTCCGTTTAAATGAGAGTACTACGGATTAGATATAAATATATACATATGTGTAAATACATACGGCGAAACAAAAAAAAAGTTAATAGAATACATTTTTGCAGTATTTCTTTTCTCCAAATGTTAATATGACTATAAATACAAACAAGTAGGAAGTAAATTTTTGAAATATCATTTAGTCATTGGGTTTTTCAAAAAATGGGACGAAACCGTGAAGGAGACACTTTTCTCTCTGGATTTTTGAATTACTAAAATGCACTGAAATCGTCTATAGCAATTTTTTTAACATAGAAATATGATTTAGAGCTTCACCATTCGAATTTATCTATTTCGAACTGCATGATGCTGCCGACATTTCTACTTCTGCTGCTTCTTTCGTTGTCGTTTGGACTACCTTCTTCAAATGGGTTTGCTCTCTCTACATCCAAATTTGGAAATTGGTCAACGGCCTCTTCTCCTGTTGTTACATTAACGTGTTGCTCCTGACCTGTTTCAATTACTCAGCAATCTTCTTCAGGATCGTAATCAATTTGTACACTACATTGTATGTTGCATTGAGTTCAGTTCAGATAAACTTTCTCTTCCATGTTTTACATGTTTTAAAATTTTTTATGATGCCCTGATCAGCCCTTAAACAAACTGAAGTTGTGTTTGGCGACAAAAATGTAATAATATAGAATATAATATCGTCCGCTTATAGGAAAGCGTTTAACATTGCAAGAGATATGTCGAAATTGGGTTCCAAGAATTTTGTTCGGGTGTGGTAGCTGTCCGTTTATTAGAGCTGTCTACAAGGAGAGCTTTCACTGTATTTGTAAATAAAAAACATGCTCTAATATCTACCCCTCATAGAACGAAAACGAAACGAAACTGGAAATTCCGTTTAACAAAACGGCGATGTATTTGAGACACTATAGCACTCATCGATTGTTTTAATGTAAGTTTTTCTATATTTCGAAAACAAAAAGAAAACTCAATAGACCGTGTTTCTAGAACTCCCGTACAAAATCTTATTTTTGAAACACTCTGTATGTTCCATCTAAAATGGTATGCCGGGAAAGAACGCACGCGCGCTTCCAGAAACTGTCCGGAAAAATTCGGCTTTTTGTTTTTTTTGTTGTGTTGTTCCAAGGACGGAACTATTAAGATTTCTTCAAGGATTCAAAATTACTTAAAAACATAGGAAATTATTTTTTATTTCGATAAAAGTAGGACATAGGTAGAGGACATTGTAAAGGAACCTGTACAAAATCTACTTTGTCGTGTTGAATCTAAAAATGAAATTATATACAAGAGGTAAGCAATAGGTCGTCTTGAATTATTGTGGAAAATGCACGATATCATTCTAGACTTAGCGAAAGTGTACCAAATGCATCGTTTAGAAAAAAATATATTATCATTTGATTAAGCAGTAAGCGGATTAATTACGCAGAAAATGGTCTAAAATGTGAGCTGTTAAAGATTGTCCAAAATTACAAAACAAACATGCCGTATATTACAGATGAAATAACTGTTGAAATGGGGGTTCAAGTTTTAAGATTGCCTCCTTATCATTGTATATTTAATACCATAGAATTGATATGGGCTCAGTGCAAAATATGTTTCAATAAATATGTTGTAAGTGAGGCAAGACACGATGATACTGTGGTAGTATCTGTTTGGAAGGCAGCTCTCCAGACAGTTAGCAAAGAAAATTGGATCATTTGTCTAAACATACAGAAAATATAATAAATGAATAATAGGAAAAAAAGAATACACAGTAGCAGTTCCAATTGTGAAGACTTTTCATCGTAAATACAAAGTAAATATGGTTAGTTGTATATTTACTCTTGACAAATTACATATTATTTAATTTTCCGATTTTAGTGGTATTGTTTTAATTTTTGTTACATGGACAGAGATTCTGTCTGTCTTCACAAGTAATATAATCGTGATTGTTGGTGACGGCTGTCTTGCATTGATCAGATGGACATTTAGGGCGGAACAACATCTGTTGAAGTATAAGTGGAAGCAAGATGAACAATATATTTTATTCTGTCTGGCATTTTATTGCCGAGTATGCCATCACCGTTGGTATGGTCTGTTCATAGAAAGTGACCAATTGCTTTTGAATGGGATTATCCAAGGGTGGCCATTAACATACAATGTAACAAGATTATTACCTAAAGTCCGTAATAGAAAATAATTTTATACCTACCTGTGTTTAATATTCTTTGGTTTGGTATACTACTTAGTTTAAGTTTATTAGTAACCATTCTTATTTCGTGTGTTCAATCGTGTACGAATTATGCAAAATATGTGCGAGTCTAGTATATCTCAGGAGACGCTCCCGCCCAAATATAGAAAACTCTATTCTATTGAGACTAAGAAAGTTAGAAACAATGTTTATTTGACTCTCATTCAACGTGGTGTCAGCAAGCAAGCATCTTTAGAAGAAACTGTATGGAAAATTGTGAATAATCCCATTCCAGAGAAAAAAAAAAGAAACGATGCTGACATTTTCTCGAGTGTAGATGAAAGTGATCAAGATATAATACGGCGTAAAATTTACCAGTTATACGAGGAACAAAGTGTGCATACATTAGTTATTTTAATTAGGAGGCTTGAAAAAGATGAAACCGGTGTTATGGAAGTGTATTCAACACATGGGTTTTAGATTTAAAAAAATTGACAAAAGGCAAGTTTTCATGGAATCTTTTAGAGTTCGGAAATGGCGACTGGAATATTTAGAAAAAAATATAATTTACAGAGAACAACAAAGGCCAATTATTTACTTGGATGAAACCTGGTTCGACACTTATGATACCCGGGAAAAGGGTTGGATTCACTCAACTGATAAGTGTAAAACAAACGCGCCATCAAAAAAAGGTAAAAGAATAACTATTTTGCATGCTGGCTCTAAAGATGGTTGGATTCCAAATTGACTTTGTCTGTCTGCGAAGAATATTAAAAATTCTTCTCTGCATTACCATGAAGACACCACCGCTGATTTATTTGAATGTTGGTTTAAAAACAAACTACTTCCAAACATTCCTCCTAATAGCGTCATTATAATGGACAATGCAAGTTATCACAGTAGACAGTTAACTAAAATCCCTTCCTCATGTGACACAAAAGCAACAATCCAAAACTACATGTACAATAACGACATTTATTTTCACGAAGATTATACCAAAAAGCAATTAATTGAGGTTCTACAAAGCTTGAACCTACAAAAGGAATACGTCTGTGATAATTATCCCTCCAAAAAGTTGGGCACATTCTGTTAAACATATAGAAAAATCAGAACAATCTTATATTCATATTGCAAATGATATAGAACAAATAATGATTAGAACAGGCGATGATAGCGCCAGTGATATTGATATATTATGTGAATAATTTTAAGTAATTTAAGTAGGAAATAAAAATAATTTGTAATTTTATTTTAGATTTAAAAATAAATACATACATAAATAAATATTGTTTAGTATCTTTCCTAACAAAACCCCAAATAATTAAATTGTAAGCAAAGTACGGACCTGTTGGGCCATATTTCATTCTTACAGCTTGCCCGGGTCTTTCCTTAATTCGTATCAGTTAGTCACTTTCTTATATCTATGAACAGACTTTACCGAATATATCAAGAAATATGTAAACTTTCTAATTTATTTTTTTTTTGGGACAGCCTGTATCGGCAATCTTTCGTATACATAGACCGACATGCAACACGTCTAGTCGCTTTGATCTAACCGCAAAAATGGGTAAACGGAGAGTGTCCGTTCTTAATGTCCGGTGATTATATACAATATGGCGACGAAATACGCGATCAAAAGCGCTCAGTTCAGAGTTTGAATGCAATTTCCTGGTAGTAATCGATGTGATTATCGGCAGGCTGTGCCCTGCATTGTTACCAATGCAACGGCAGCGACTCGACCAGGCCCTTCCAGTGCAACGAATGGCTTTCCTCGGATATCGATATTCAACCGGAACCGTGCGATATCGTTTACGGGGCTAAATATTGCATCAAACATACAGGGCGGTTCGAAGGTAATCGGTCCCACTGCGATTGATGGTTTATGGGGCCTGAAACTAACAATAACATAACAAATAACAGCTTCCGATATCTGAGTGGTGGTTCCTAGTTTAGATTGTGCTATACCGTTCGGATATCTGAAATATAAAACGATGGTATATGTACGGGGTGTCCCATTATAAATTACTAAATGGATAACTTTCTTAATATCAAACCGACGATGATGACGAACAATGTGAATGTCGGCATGTTCTTCCAGTACTTTAATGTAACACACGAAAATAAACATGCAAAATTAATTTAATTAACGATTACTGTCACAATACATAAGATTAGTAACGTAATACTGGAGCAACCATTTTAATACAGGGTTACTATTTAAATGATTTTTAAAATTTCAAATGCTTGTAGCTCAGTCGGAACACGCCGGGTAAATGTTCATTTGTTCATTTATAACTTTAAAATTAAATTAAAAATAAATCTCTTCAGCAACACACTTCCCAGCTATGGCAGTCATGTCGTGGGACATTCTGTTATGAGTTGTTTGGTTATTGTTGACAGATTTTGAAATATCGCGCATTTTAAAAAAGTCTGTAACTATTTTCTCAAAAATAGAATTAATCATGAAACTAAATTAGTTTCTTCTTTTTTTAAATATATTTGTTGTATGATTTTCTATTATGTATTTTCTTAGTTATTAACTACATATTAATTACCTACCACTTATAACAAAAAAAAAAACAATATTACATACTTAAATATTATCAAAAAACATCTTTAGTATTCTAAATTTATTTCACAAAACATAAGTCGAAGTGATCACTCATCTGCACGCATACACGAAAACGTTTGTGTAGATTTTGGATACGCCGTCTAAGAAGTTCTAGTGCCTAATCAGGACTTCATATATTGTTCTGTATTCTGTTTTGTATTTCTAAAATTGTTGCCGGTCGTCTTCTATGTTACTCTCGATATTAGAAATCACCATAAAAAGGGATCAAGAGGACTAAGATCTGGACTGGACGGAATGCCAAAGTATTACACATTGTATTTATTTTGCAAATAGTCTCTCACGTTTCTTACATTGAAATATGGTGCCCCGTGCTATTGCCATACTATATTTGAAATCACAACAACTCTTCGATATATAAGCTTCTTCTTTAAATCCAAGGAAATCGAAATATCGATCGGGGTCCCAGAAGTTTAACAAAAGTAACCAAGCTCCTATGTTGTGAATAAAATTAGGTGCTTGTTGAATTCGTTTTAACATAATGCCGCAAAACTCAAGACGTCTTTGATGCCTTCATCTGTAAGGTGATAAATTTTTCGTCAACTTATAAGTGTGACTTAAAAATCCGTTGGAGTTTACTTACCATATTATCGGTTGAATACTTGTGATTAAAATTCTCATGTTGAAAATATAAGACATCAACCTCTTCATAAACATTACAAGAAACTTGCCTTCTTTTTCCTTCGACTAAGCTGCTATTTTTTAAGCTACTATAAGTGTTATAAAATGTTTTTTACTTTAAACCACTCTCTATATATTTTAATATGTAATGACGCCAGTTTCCATGACAACGGCTATCATGGCTAATTTGATTTTTATAACAATAGTTATTGACTTCCTTACATCCATAATTAGGTAAAATGCGTGATATTTCAAATGCTGTACAAAAAACCCTAACGTCTCATTAATATTTGAAATCAGGAGAAAACATGCAATGGATTGACACATTCAAATACTGGGAATCGAAAGGTTTTGGAAAAATGCTCCATCTTTGTTAATTTAAACTTTATCGTAGGATCGATATTAACAAAATTATCCATTTGGTAATTTATAATGGTACACCCTGTACGCTTAAAAAGAAATTGTTTTTTCTTTTCCGTTAACTACATTTTCTAAAATTTATTTCATTATTATTTGTTCACTGTTATTTTATAATTCTTTTATTTATTTTATAACAAAACTTTTCATATTTACATTTTTTATGCCTTGCTTCTGTAATTAAAATTACAGTTTTATAGGCCAACTCATAAACAGCATTAAATATAAAAAAAATACAAATTTAATGTATTCGATACTTTACCGTTCTAGATAATCCAGAGGTATAATTTGATTAAAATTTTCTGCTGACATTTTACTGCCTAATAAATAAATAATATGCAGGGTGTTTAAAAAAGGCGCGAAAATATGTAGGGGGCGATTCCGCAGATCATTTTATGAAAGAAGTTCTAATGAATGTGGTCCGGAAATGCATGATTTAAGATATGCTGTGTTAAAGGTTTTTTTTAATGTTTTCTCAATTAATTGAAATGTCAAATCAAATCAAGGATTTGTTGGAAATTTCTTGTGATAAGGGTTAGAGGGGCAACGCAATGAAATGTATTGATGAGATATAGCGACTAAAACTACTACTGTCTCGTCTCTTATTTTTTTCTCATATCTTCTCATATCATTAAAATATAAAATAACTCCTCTATATTTATCACACAAATAATTTGAAAAAACTGTTAAAAAATAGCACCTGCAACAAGGACTTTAGGTGTTACTCGAATGTGTCAATTACTTTGTATCCATCTGTCTAATATTGAAGTCCCGTAACATAGATTCAAACAAGAATACCAAGATAACCGATATGAACTTTATTTGTGGAGTTGCTGATGGCAATACATGAGAAGCCAAGCCGGTTTTACACTGAACGTTTTTCTAATCGTATTGTTACTGATTTTCATTCATCGACGCCTTCATAAAACGAACACATTAAACGAAATGGAGGAACAGGAAGGCCAATAACAGCAAGAACGGTGAAGCTGGATGAGGATGTGCTAAACATGATTGAAGAAGATCCTGCTGAATAATACATTTATTTAGCAATTCGCATCCAGCTAACATATTTCTATGTCTTCTTAGTTCGTAGACAGAACTGTGGAGGGAGGGTACTTACCAACCATGGACGGAACATTTTCCAGTTATTCCTTTTGTATCTTCACTAGTACACCGGAGCAACAAAAAACAAACCTCTGATCGTTCAACAGATCCAGGTACCTCTACTCGAAAAATTGCTGAGGTTTTGAATGCAGTGTAATAGTAAATTATGAAGGACCGTTTGTTATATCCATACCATTGCGTTCTTTCAATGACTTTTGCGCAACTAGTGATGCTGATTTTGTTTATTGCGATACTAATTTTATTTATCGATGAAGCGACGTTTTTCAAGAAATGCAATAAGAAATTTTTATAATAACCCTTTGTGACGTGATGAAAATCCACGGGCAATATTTGAAGATGAGTTTCAATATCAGTTCTCGGTGAATGTTTGGGTGACTGCATAATTGCATTGGTGTTTCTACCAGGAAGACTTACTGTAGGTGTATCGCAACTTTTTGGAACAAACCAGTGCATTTTAGTCAGGTTGCTCCGGAATTTTTTGTACGGGATGACATACTCACGTTACTCCTGTGGAATATGGAATTGGAAACGACTGTGATATTTTTGACAAAGACCATGATGACAAGATTGGACTGCTGCTTCTGAGCTGAATGTGGTCACTTTTATCAGTTTTTCTATTTTTTTTTTTTTTGATAAATATTAAGTTATTTTATATTATTGAAACGTTAATAAATGTTTTTTAGTTGTTTAGTTTTTATTTTTTAACTCATAGACGACCCTAATTTCAAAGACATCTATTGGGAGAAATTTTAATTAATTTAAAAAACATTATTAAAAAAAAAAGTAACACCCTGTATTTTGAAAACGATGCATTTCCGAGCCTACATTTAGGGGAACTTTTTCATAAAGTGCTCTGAAGAATCACGTCCTTACAATATTGCTGCTTTTTTAAACACCCTGTATAAATCAAATTATGCTCCCAATTCAGGAAATTTGAAGATAGAGCCGGAGTAGTTCTATCTTCTAATTTTATTTTATTTATACTTATGTCTTTAATTAGGTACCATACTGGGTTATGTTTAAAGTCTTTTTGTAACATATCTGGCAATAGTTACTTACGAAAGTTGTCAGGCAGAGCCTACGTCCGTTTGAATCCGAAAAGTAACCACGAAATTAAAAATAAATAACACATTTACTAACTGGTGCTCACAACTACTAACAGTTTCTATGCTGTGACATAGAATTCTACAGGTGGATAGTTTTCTACTGTGGATTTCTAGTTCCATATGAGCAACTAATGGCAAATTAAAGCATCTATAGGAGATCTTGGTGACTATAATGAACTATGGAAAAACTTTTGTGCTTTGATTCGTTTTTTATATGTAACAACAATTGCTTTGAAAAATTCCAAAACACCATGCAGCAGGTAAGAGTGACTTGCTAGAATTCTATGTGACACGAGGTCCAATCGCAATATTTCAAACTAACCAAATCTAATAACAGATGTCCCTTTTGGTTCTCGGTTAGCAAAACTATCGCAAAATTGAGCTGTGACTAAAAAAGGCTAATCTTGTATAGGTGCTTCGGACATTTCGAACATTTTGTGCACTTTTATGGGCTATCTCGGTTATTTTTGGAGATAGAAACTTGCGGTTTACGCGACATGGTGCTACTTTTTTGTGAAATGTGCGATGGCGTCAACAAAATTGTCATGGTTCTCTTGGTTTTGGAGGTACAGTTGTATCTCCATTATCTTGTAAGTTATTGAAAAGTTTAATTTTTTCTTGCTCTAACTGTTTTTTTAGTTACGAAGCAAATATATATATATATATATATATATATATATATATATATATATATATATATATATATATATATATATATATATATATATATATATATATATATATATATATATATATATATATATATATATATATATATATGAAAGAGGTCCATTAGTACCTGTATATTTTTAACGGAAGTTGTCATCTAAAAATGGTCTTAAAAGTCCATCCGACTGAAGATATATATCAGTATAATATACTCAGGGAATATCTTCGAGTAATTCTGCAATGACTTACTCGAGAATGTCTAGGTTCCTAACAGCTGTAAGGCCTCCTTCCTAAATTCGATAGGCTATTCGTTGTCCCAAAATAAAACACAAAACCCAACTCCAAAGCGTCCGTGTTGGGTCCAAAATTAAATGGTGGCTTTCTGTCCTCGTGTTGTTGCGATTAAAAATTCCCGATCTTGAAAAGTAACATTCATCGAACCATATTACAAATCTTAAACTTGTATGTATTTGTATTTTTTTAAAATTCTTTGAGCAGTCGATTTTGGTACCCCTATTGCTTGTTTTATGTGTTTGCAAGATGACGACTGCATTGCTGTAACCTAATACATTTGCTTCTCTTTGCTCTCTATTCTTCTTCAAATAATTTTTAGGACGTGGTTGAATAAAGATTGTCGTCTCTCTGGATATTATAAAAGTATTATAAAAATTTTACTGACCATATCCCTCTCGAAACCTTACCTGTGGTAATATTTCATTGCATTATATAAAACATAACAACGTATCATATGTTTCAGAATTTTCATATGCTGCCATTATTAGAGAAAAATAATTAAAACGAATAAAACAGAGAAAGAACAAATGGATAGGTAACAAAAATATAATTAAAAGCTGACAGTATTCCACACATTTGCTTTTTTGTTTTTAATAGATGAATCATAACCAATGATCTACTTAACATATATATATATATATATATATATATATATATATATATATATATATATATATATATATATATATATATATATATATATATATATATATATATATATATATATATATATATATATATATATATATATATATATATAATTTGCTTTATAATTAGAAAACAGTTAGAGCAAGTAAAAAATATACTAGGCCACTGCGAGTATAAACGTCACATATGGTTCATATGAAAACGTGTGCAATTACAAATACACCCGAAAAATTTTTACGTGTAAATATTTATACGTGTTTGATAATTAAACTAACGACTACGAATTTTTAATACGAGTTAAAAACTTGCAAAACTTTTTCTTAGAATCAATTTTTTTTCATTTCATCTTATTTTTGAACTTGTCTTTGGACTACGTGTAAGGGTAACATTGTTTCTCTAATTAAAATCCGTCAGGCGGGTCTATCCAGTGCTACCAATGTGCAGCGTCGAAAACCATGGACTGTTCCGATCTGATGGTGCATATGGGCGGTATCGAACCCCAGAGTTGCGATCATGTCTTTGAGGCCCAGTACTGTATCAAAACTACAAGCCTTGACGGTATAACGATGTCATTCCATCAACTTGTTTCAATTTTGAGCTATCAGAGCACCACAGCCACCACGCATTGTTTTAAGTTGTTCGTTGTTTGTTTTTAGTATTTGTTTCCGCAAATTCGATTTAGTAATTATTGTATTATTATCATTGTATGTAGCCCTAGAAAGAAGACGCAAGCAGATCTAAGATCCAGGATACGTACAGTATAAACGAAACATCACATTCACATTCTACGAGCAATTTCACAAGTGCCTAATTTATTAATAGAAAATAGAGTTCAATTATCTCACAGAAAATAGCACACAACACTAGTTTTGTTTTTCCGTGGAATCGAAAACCCAAAAACCCAATAATCAAAAAAGGACTAAATACGGTTCTGGCATTTCAATGTTAAACCCATATAGCTACTAGAGATATGCGACTAATACAGGAGCTTATAAAGCAACGATGAGAAAAATTTTGTTGCTGCATGCAGCAACTAACATGGCCGCTGAAAGATCGCCAATAAGTCTGGATGTGCAATTTTTACGGCAGTATTTTCTCAAAATATGTCAAGGTCCTATTAAATCTTCAGGCAAAAAGGAGTTACGGTATGAAAAGTTTTTGGGTCGGAGTCCTATGTAAATAAATTATGGTACGGCTAGTTTCAATAAAAAAACTGATACGGCTTGAACTTCGAGATTATATTTTGAGCAGTATACACCAAAGAGTATAAGATAGAGGGGAAGGTCGCGTATACTGTTACGAATACCATCTAATATTTGTGTCCAAGTGCGTCGCACGGTAGCTTATAACGGATAACAGCACTTTATTTATGTTTTAATAAAAAAAAATTAAAACTATTTCGACATATTTTTTTTTCACAAACTTTAAATTAAATTGAACCGTATGTCCCGCGCGTTTTCCGTCTTCCCCTCTATCTTATACTCTTTGGTATACACATCATCAGTCTGTTATATCACATTTTGACAAAAAAAAAGTTGTTTTGACGTCCAATATGGGATCTAAAGGCAGGTTTATGCAAACATATTGAGTAACAAAAATGAATACGCATATTCTTACAATAAAATGTAATGTAAAATGTATTTTTATTACTAAAAGCTCTTGCGTTAATCAGCCTTTACTGTTTGTTTGAACAGGAAATTATTGTATGCACTAAGATACATCCTCTTTGGTAAATTTGTGAAAATATATTTCAAAAAATATATAAATTATGCTTATACTATATAGGTATTAAAGTATTCGGTATTTTATTAAATTTTATTGTGTATCTTTGGTTGTTCCAGTAAGTTTTATCCTTAAAAAACGTCTAAACTAAATAGACTCATAGACTTTTATTTATTTTAGACATGATATTTTTTAACTTTTAAATAAACAACTTAAAAATAATTAGATGGGGCAAATGCAAGAATTGTGACAAATTTAGAAGATTAATATAAATAGGACATGAACTAACAGTTGGCAGGAATTTAATATTTTGTCCATCCACATCAATCGCAGCATGAAGTGTTCGCCTAATGATCATCAAAGGAGGAAGTTTTCTTCAAGCGACAACTCTTCTCATACTTTCTGAATACTTCGCGATAGCTACTTGCTGTTTTGAGGCATACAATTTCAGCCGTTTCACCATTATCCCTCATATGTTTTCGATTTTGGAGCTATTGTGTAACGATGTTTGTAGTATGGTTGAAAAATATAATTATTTTCCCACTAACGCTGTTCCACACTGAACACCATAACGTTCTGCAATATTTCGGCAAAAATTTGACCAACAAATCTTTGCTCAATCCGCGATACCTGTCCCATTCCTTTGGATGAAATCCATCCCCATACATTTGCACTGAAATAGCCTGCAGTTCTGTACCTATCGATACATCGAAGGTGGAAAAGCTGGTTGTCTGGTCTGTACACTTGGATTTTACATTTTTTGAAACACTGGAAGATCTTTTCATCGGCAAATATGATTCCTCCCAAGAGCGAAGATAAGCCGTGCCTGCCTTTTCTTGTTCAGCACTTCAGATGACTCCATTCTTCGACAAACTGTGGTTTTATTGCCCGGAAATGCCGACAACATTCTTGCGTTCTTCGCGCATTGAAAAGGTTCATCCTCGACTCTCCAAAGGAGCGCCTGATCTTCTTGAACTGTTGTATGCCAGATCCCCATTTCCGTTCAAATATTTTTTGTCAACTCTTGTCAACACCTTTTATTAATGAAAAAAACGGTTGTTCTTCTTATATTAAAATGTTGAGCTACCGCTGATTAGGACTAATCATCTTCTAATTTGGCTACAATTCTTGCTTTTAACATTCCGCTTAGATGCTGAGCCATTCTAGGCTTCCTTTAATTTTATAACGTATTTCTAACAACGCTGACAATCTTTTTCGTTGACAGTGACAGTATTATAAATATGAGAACAATGAAGTTCGCACGACAACGACATGGTGGCCACTGCTGAAAACTTTGAAAAAAAGTACTTTAAGTATCGTATCGGTTTTTTATGAAATGCGCTCTACATAAGGCAAAAATTACCCGTGCATTCCTTTCGTTACAGTTTTGACCGCACACAACAAGTGTTTGTAATAAAAACGCGAAAAGGTACCAATAACAATAACTTGACTCGGCGTTGCCAATAATGTCGGGATTTCAGAGCCTCAGATCATTCCCAACTGTACGAAAATGTGTTGATGCTTTTCAAGCGGTTATGATATTTTCGTTGAAGAACGAAAGATCTTCTGCGCATGGACCAAAATTTCACGCACTAACCTGCAATTTGCGTAATTTTCAGCGATCCCCACATACTCGACTCGTTTTTCCTCGACCATCTAATGGAATATTTTGACGAAAGATCAAAGCTGTCGAATTGACAAACTGTCAACGGCCATGTTGGTTGTTGAATGCCTCAAGGTCTTATATTGGTTGACAGCAAGATTTGAAATAACCACGTATATCAACATTTTTTTTTATATTTTCGTCAAAAGTTTCTGTACCTGTATTATCAGCATTGCAGAGCCTCTATATACCTAATGACACATTTAGGCAAACGATCTCGAAAACGCAGGTTTTTGCTCGTATTTTGTGGTACTCTTGTAGTTTATGTATTTACTAGATAGGGGTGTTACCAAACTGCATATTTATTTTATACAGCCTGGAAATTATACACAATAGCAAAATGGTGGTGATATAAAACTGCCCATCAATCTTCGGCAGTAATAAAATTCACATCCTCTTTAAGTTTTTGTATTTCATTATTCAATTTTAGGTATAAACCGAACAAAAACGAAATCAAATTTGCAAGTTTTTTTAGTCGTTGTGTCTTATTTAATCATTGTAACAATGTAACAGCAATATTGTATGTCAAAAGAATGTGTTTACTGTAGGTAGGTCAGTTGTTGGTTCTTCAAAATAGTCATGAAACAGTATCACTTAAGACATTAGTATAAAAACTATAGCAGAAATGCGACAGATAAAAGAAAATCAAATTCCATTAGGTTTTGTTTAATATAACCTTCATAAATGTCGCGTCAAAAGGAGGTTCAATCCACAGTAGTATGAGCGTCATTGCGACCTAATCTAAATATTCTTAAATATTAGTCTCCTCGCCTGAAATATTTAAAATGCTATTTTAAATATGAATTTTCTACTCTCTTCTGTAAAATAGCCAATTATACACCGATCGGTGTCGAAAGCGTCACTTCACCACGTCAATTTCTTGTACTATGGATCCGAGCCACTTCGGACATTTCCGGGATATTACCACACGGGTTTGGGAGCAATCGGATGTTTTCGGAGATATTACCGCCTGATCATTTAAAATCGTTTTGGGATTGACAGTATTAATGATAGGTACCGATCCACGAGGCATTAACAAAGATTAATGACCAAAAATATGCATAAGTTGCGGTCAGAACGAATGGCAAGGAGACGAAAAATGCTATAAAGAACCATGGTTACGCAACTAACAATTTTGGTATCTACGACCTCATCTACTAAATACGCAAATTGCGGGATTACTTATTTTGTGATATTACTTCCCCTTGTTTTAGAAAAATCAAATGCATGTGCTTTCCTAATTTGCATGATTTTGAGAAAATACCGGGTTTGGATTGCCATAGTAGATTCTGTGTTCTGTGTTTTTACCCCTTCTTCTATCATTGCGGCACAGTTTATTGCAGCTGGACGAGGATATTTCCTTTTCGCTTTTTTGATAGCGTCGGTTTTTATGCATGTTAAATTATCTGTAGCGCTTTGGGGGTGGAGGTCATTCTCCATGATTCTTGACGGTGACCTAATAGGTTTTGATGATTTTTCAGGAGGTATAGGGGCGAAAAGGTTTTGTTCGTCATTGGATCTCGGCAACTATTGCAACTATGTGCAAGGCCCGGGTGACAAGCTGATGTACCGCACATGCGTCTTCACCTGCACAGGAGACGGTTGCAATCGTGGCGTTTCATTCCGTAATGTAAATATTTACATTCTGTTGTCGGTAATAACGTTTACCGTAGCGTTAGTGACTGGGTTTTTTACGTGATTTGAGGTGGAACTTGATTTTTCCGTACTGTATTTGTTTTAAACAACACCTGTTAAGAATCTCTAAGCCAATGCGTTCAGATAATAACAAAATACTGTCGCATTCTTATAGGATTTAGTACAGTTCCCGTCCATTATTAGATATAAATTATTGTAAATATTTTACATTGAGAGTGCTACTTTACTAGCAAGGCAATTATTTCAAAGACGTAATAACACTTTAATAATTATTTTTTACAAGTTAGTGTTTTTTTCTCGTCATTTGTAATTGGTATATCCCCGTATTTTTGTTTCAGTTTCAGGACTAAGTGGTAACACATTCTTTTTGGCAAAACGCTATTAATTCCGTCAGTTTCCTAAGTTTTAATGCTCGTAAAATTGAATTATTTGGTATCATTTTTTTTTAAATTGAAGTTGTCATAGATGTGACGATTTTTTTTTAGTTTGGCTCCTGATTATTTCGGGTAAAGCGAATAGAAAACGATCCCACTGTCAGAACAATATTCGGCTTTATAAAAAGATCTCAGAATTCAAAGCAACCAAACTATTAGTCCGTGGTTTAGAACTTACCACTAATTCTTAACTGTGTGTTTGTTCAAATTACGTTTCCATTGTCCATGGCTTACTTCAGTGCTTGTGTAAGCTTAACACTTAACTTTTGTTGGTTTGAAAGTCGCAAAAAAAACGTGGGTTTTTTTGTCCAAATAAGCTTCGTTGCAATCTTCAAAATGTATTTCCCAATAGTGCCATCTCTAAACTTAAACAACGTGCGCCATCTATCAGTGAGGCGAAAAATTGCATAGTACAGTTTTAAATAGTGCTGAGTTTTTGCAACTTGCCTTTGTAACTGGTTTACAGGCAGTTGCGTTGAAACATTCAGAAAATTTCTTCCTCTGGCAGAGGTAATATGTATTGTATATAGTGGTCTGATTTTGTATATTAAAATTCCCTAAACGTTGCTCTGATAGAGGTAGGCACATAGGAATTGTTAATTTTACTAATCGACTGTAAACTCAAAGCTGCACAATTGAAATTAGTCAATGTGATATAAAGTGTAATAAAATATTTTTATTCATATATTGGTGAGTTTTAAACTCGGCGTTAAATGATTTCAGTGCAGGTGTAGAAATGGTGCAAAACTTAACACTTTATAACACTTATACCCTGTTAATATAACACTTATACTCTGTTAATAAACAGTAAATTTATTGTAAGCATTTCTTATGTCTTTGTTTTAAATAAATAGTAAAATAATAAAAAGGTGAAAATTTCAGCTTAATGAAACAACTATAAGAAATAGTATCTAGAACACACTGTTTAGAGAAATGATTACTGTCCAAACAGGTCTTGATATTTTGAGGTCACTCTGACAGACGGAACATCTGAAATTATTAAAATATCGATATTTAGGAAACAATGTTAAATTTCACTGAAGCTTAACAAGAGCTTACCAATACCAGTCTCACCTAATAAAATAAGTCTTTCGAGAAAAAAAAAAACACGAAACTTTGTCATTCTTTTACTCCACCAACGGTTACAACACATTACCTATACACTCGTAATAAAAAAATATCTTGCACAATTATTTCGCCAAAGCTTCATCAAGCTTGCTCACATTTAGAATTAATGTACAAATGATATTACCGTTAATACTGTACGTCTCACAGAGCCCGACAATTACAACGAAAAGGGTCATTTAACATAAACGACCGTTTCTACCTCCACAAAGGTGATATCAAATATCAAATATATCAAAAAACGATTAAATGTAAAAAATATAGGGGCTAAATTGAGAGGTTCTTTTTTTGAACAATCTCTATTTTTTCTTTTTTTTTTAAATCAAAGCACCAATCAAACTACCTCTTATTAACGATCGTCGTTGGAAATTTAAAAATAGGAATATCGACGTCAACTGGAAATAATAGATACTATCACATTTTAACCTAACAATAATGTTATCTAAATATAAAAAGGCGCCCTCTATAGGGTGATTCGCAATGATTAAAAGTTCTGAAGAATTATTTATAACAAAGAACTTTTTCATTCTTCAAAGAAACTTCCATAGAGTAAATCTTATTACAAATCTCCTGGATATCTGCTTAAAAACTCTTTGAGGAAGGCGGATGGACGTGGTCCTTCCTTACATTCAAAGCATTACTAACCACAAAGAAGACATTGGAGAAACGTTTTACGCAGACTCTTGCATGTAATCAATTATTCCAACCAGTGGCGGCTGGTGGGAAAATTTTAAGGTGTCCTGCAAACTTACCCATCGATTTTGTGCCTTCCTACTTGTCACACGAAAAAAATAAGTCATCTGGAGAGGCACTAAGCATTACTTTACTGTTTTTTAAACAAAATACAAAATTTTAGGAAAATAACATGAACAATTTAAACAAATTATAAAGTTCCAGTTTACACATTGAGATATGCTCTATATTCCTCCAGTCTTAACCCACAGGCAAATGAACTGAGGAATATTTACTTGTGACACGAAGCAATTTCTGGACGTGGTGGCAATGAGACTGGATTGTGTATTCTAAAGGCTAAAACTGGAGTGATATTTGAAGGGGTAAAACAAAAATAGGATGCTGATTTTTTTGTGGGTTTACCACAAGAATATTTTCAAGAAGTACATTAAAAGTTCTTGGTGCCGGGAAATTCGTTTTTATCCTGTGACAGGGATGTTGCGCATATAGAAAAAAGGAAAAGTATTGAGAAATGTGAAGCACTCCAAGCGACCTATTGATTTTAAACACATCCACACAGGTCCAGATTTCAAAAGCTAAGGAGATTTACATTTAAGCTGACAATCCTGGTTTCAATAAAATCAGAAAAATTTTCAATACAACGAAAGCCTGGAAATCGGTAATTGTTAGCAGAAAGAACGATTAAATTCTTCTATAAATTCTGTCTATAAACTGTGAAAGACAAATCAAGACCAACCGATAAACGTACTTATATTTTGCTTGTAGGTTTAAAATAAGCTGATGAGTATTCTTACTAAAAAAAAATCGATTATTTAAAAAATACAATCTGGCACTTGGCCAGGTGTTTATTTCTAATCTTGAGTTAAAGAAACAGCTAAACTGAACCATTCGAAGCAAAAAACACTCGCCTTAAAAATATGCGTAATGATTTTTATTACTCAAAATGTTTGCGTAAACCTGCCTTTGGATCCTGTCAAAACAAGCATGATGACCACGGGTATGCTGCCCAAAATAATAAAGTGGAATTTTCAAGTTGTCTAAAATTGATGTAGTAAGTGTTTGTGCATCACATCTTTCAGGAATGATGGAGCACCAAAAGCGTCCAATAAAAATAATTATCATTTGAGATTTTGCAGAAACGGGTGTTGTTTCGTCCACCATGACCGCCAACCAAGGAGAATTATTAATTTCGTCAATTATTTTTTAATGTAAATTAATAATTTTAGATAATTCTGTGACACATTTGCATTATGTTTCTGTACATTTACCCACTAAGCAGAATCTAGTTGAGCCCTAATATTGGTTCAAACTTCAATGCCCTAGCCCCCTATTTTCGTCCTAGCTTTATCCCCACCAAATAGTAAACAATTTTCGTGTATAACCTTTTTCTCTACTTAACCTAAACCTTTTAATTCTAACTTTTCTTCTCATTCTCACATTAATTAAATTAGAGATTTCCTCTATAGTTCATGGTTAAAATTGTTTTTTTACTCTCAATTCTTTAACTTTCACCAATATCAGTGGACCGGGAGAATTTTTATTTACTTCCTTTAGCCCTGCCCTACTCAAATAGTTTATAAGCAGGTAGAAACTAGAATGCAAATCCGACCGATGGTTACCGTTTAGAAATGCTTTTAGAAATGCGACGCTGTCAACTTTAGCCGAAACCAACGGCAACATTGCAAATTTTCAGTACTTTTTGTACTTTTTTACCTATCATAATAAACTTAAAATATACAATGCTAGGGCATTTTGCGGTATCATTTATTTATTTCTATTGTTTGTTGTCAGGATAAAACCTGGAAATGGTAGTACAGTTTTTCATTGCCTGGCCATGCCTACTCTCCTAAGGCTATCTTCAACAGAAAATTAAGAATTACCGAAATTCCAAACTAGATGTGTTAAACATGCCCTTTTTTATTGAAGATTAATTAAATCTTCAATAAAAATTTCAAAAATATTATACTTATGACCATTCTTCAAAATTTACGCAAATCATATTTGTTAATTTAACTATGACACTGACAATCCTCTTTCCTACTAAAAAAAAGTGTCTAATGTATTGTTTATATATAATGTTTGCTTAACATATTTTTAATTATGAAGGAATATATTTTCCACATAACCCAAACATTATTTTGCAAAATTTGAAAAATCTGTGAAATCATATGGTTGTGTGAAATCTGGTGTACCAATTTTGTTTATTCTTATTTCAAAAATTAGATGTTTACACTATCGTGTGTGTATCTATAACAATATTCCATTTGAAATTGCAAAGTTTCAATTCTTTTTTATCTGAGCAATGTATTTGCCATAATAGCCTTAATGCCTTAATGTCCGAATGTCATCTAATTATAACCACATACCAAATTTGATAAAGTTCCTTTTTCAATTTTCCAGAACTTCTAATTTGCGTACTTTGTGCTGTTGCTGACCAGCAAGGCGCGAAAACACAACTAAGTAAACATTATACTTAATGCAAATGGTGAATTTCGCAAGCGCTATTTGCCATAATGCAGCCGTGGACGCGGAAAAGTATAATTCTGCCAGCTTGTACGCGAAAAAAGCCGCCATTTATTGGGCGAACGTGGCGCTTAATTTGTCACAAGCGGCGACTTTTCGTACCACCCATTGCCGAAGCCGGTTACTTGCTGGTGAATCGCCGTAGCATCTCCTCCAGCTCCTTCACCCTTTGCTCGCTATTGGCCAGCTGCTTTTTCAACTTCCTATTTTCCTCCGACTGCGACTGATAGGCTAAACGCAACTGAAAGTCAAAATAATAATAAAAGCATCAGACTTCAACATAGGTTTGAGAACAATGGTAGGATGGACTTGAGGTGTGAAAAAAGAGTTTTTAACTTGTATCTGAAGTTACGTTTTCTACGTTCACGTAATAGACGTATTTAAATTCAATTGGTCATTAAGTAATATATTGGAATATTGGAATATTGGAATATTTTCCATTTGATAAAGGCTTGCTGTTGCCAAAGCAGCTGTCACAAACCAATAAATAACTGTAAAAATCTAAACATTTTTTGTTGCAATTTATTTTTTGTATTGTTAAAAATAAAGAAAGATATGGCGCATCAAACATGACGAAAAAATAAGGTTTTATATTTTACCTTTAAGACGAAAATATCATGCAAGCATTGCTAATATAAAAACGCAAAAATAAATTTCGACAGAAGGGTTTATCAGAAGTTTTTTGTTCCTTGCAATTTTTCATAAAACTAGTAAAAAACAGTTTAGTTGGGTGCTGTGGAACAGATGGATTTTTCATCATTTATTTATCAATTATCTTTTAAACAATTACATTTTATGCGTGACCTAAAAACATTTTATTTAAACAATGTTATCAAAATGAAAACCGAACAGGAAGCAAAACAAAAAATACTCATCATTGAGTCCCCCATGCGCTGGAATATGCCTGGATTATTTCTTATGACATTACAAGACGCAATTATTCGATATCTTAGATCTTGGTTATTCTGTGTTGGAGAAATGTAGAGCCATTCTTTTAAATATCCTTAGATACAATAATCTGAAGTATTTGATTCTTCTTTCTATCAAAGGACGTAGTTCTTGTAGACAATAAAAATAGATTTAAAGATAGCAAATGATTTATTTTAATTTATTTATTTATAATCCCTGTTATAGGTATCTAAATTCTGTTATTGAATGCGGATTATCTTCATTAGCTTAATGCATCCCTTGAGAAATTAGGGAAAAAAGGGTTACCGGAATTCATTCGGCGAAACCATTGAGAAAAAATCATCCTAGGTTCGAAATTCCTTGGTAAAAGTGCATGAACTCTCTACGTGGTATTCTCCATGCAATAGATGCATCAATACTTTTCTCCAGCTGCTTTTGAATAATCTTTAGCACAGCAACTTCTAATGCTTCTTTCGAAACTTCCAGAATCGTGTAGCCTTTGATAAAGCTTGATCTAAGATGCCTATGCTTGTGTATATACACACACACACACAAAAGCTTCCAAGGAATTTCCGTTTTCGTATCATTTTATAACTATTACCTCCAGTTATCTGCGTATCCATCGCATCATTTTTGTAGGACTTATTATATTTGTTTAAAACTAAGAAAAATTAACCCTAACTTTAAAAAATAATTTGAATTATATAAAACTGATTTTTCATTTTTTTTTTTTGATATTACTAGAATAATTCTTTGATTCGCGTACACGCCTATCCATTCAAATAAACAATTAAAAAAAAACAATAAAATTTTTGTGCCAAAGCATTTCTGCCAAAATTATTGAATATTTTGACTTGAATTTTTTTTGCCATAACTTTTTTGCTCGTTAACCGATTCACTCAGCCATAACTCATTTTGTATGAAACTTAAATAAAACATAGCATCAGCTACAGGCCTACAAAAATTGTTTTTAACACCATAATATTCAAAACAAAACATTGGATTACCAATTCATTCCTACCATTGGCTTCAAACGTACGTCGAAGTCCGAAGTGCCCCAAATAGTAATTTGTTTGGATTATTGAGGAATGACTGAATTTACATTATTTTCGCCTTTTTGCAAGTGATGATGACAGGTAGTCCACCTACCTGTGCCTTAGACTTAGAAAAATTTGAATAATTGTTACTTTCCCACAGTTGTCTATAAAAAGTGGCTAGTGTTTCTATTTTTCTTGCTGAGAAAGTAAAACTACTAATCTCAGTATGCTCAAAGCTCATCGCTACCAATGCTCAACATTTGAAGTTTCAAAAATAGTTGAAATGTGTTCGAATATGATTGGAGTAAGACAGTCAACAATATACCGACTTCTGCACCCATGAGGTCACCAAAGCGGACACAGAAACTGTAATTAATGAGGATGAAAAGAGTGCAATCAGAAGAAATACCTACCTTCGAAAAAATACCGTCTTCTTAGAAAAAAAATAACACGGCATTACACACACTTTTAAGATGGTGGACGTTAAGATCATTGACAAAATGAATATAGGATCACCAAAAATTAATCAGCTCAAGCATTGGGGATGTATAACGTTTTTTTATTCTCTCTGATCCTTGCTTAGGCATAATCCCGGTCTCATTGTTGCCAATAATAATTAATAATCTTTAATTTTTGCAACTATAAAAAATATTAAACATACTAATCACCAATGTGATGTGCCACAAACAGGGTGACTGGAGGCAACTTTAAAGACGATCAAGCCAATGCCTGACGAAACTCTTAAAGTTATAGCTGGTCGAACAACATTACTTTAATCTTCTTTCTAAACTAGCAATACTTTGAGCAGGTGCAACACAACTCGTGACTCTTGATGCGAGGGAGTAATTAACCCACGGAATCTTAAGTATAAGTTATGAATATCAGTCCTAGAAGTTATTTGATTTGCTAAATATTGTGGGCATCTGTCCTTGTGAGAGTATGCAAGAGCACTAAGGAGTGAAATTGCCTTCTTTGCTCCAAGGTAAGCGTCACAGAACTTAAGATATAGGTCGGTATTTCTTATTCAAATAAGCGAAGCGAGTACTGGATTTTGATACTTTCTCTATATGTAGTTGATCTTTGTGAACCATACTCTATATTACATCACAAAAGTTAAAATTGATAAGAACCAAAGAATCTGAAAGAAGTTTGTGTTTTTCAGTAAGAAGGTGTCTATGTGGATAGAGCAATTGAATCGTAGATCAACGTTCATCGTAAATGCAAAGTATTTTGCGCAGAATCAACTCCACATTTTTTCCATATTACTGTTTTTTAGGTATTATATTTAAATTCTTTAATTCTGCTTCGATTTCGGCTTTTGCTTGCACTCAATTTTCTGCAGGAGTGGTACCTGGTGAACAATAAGTGAGAAATTATAGAACCCTGTGTGATGCTTTCCTCTCTATTTCATCTGTTATGAGAACAAAGGCTCCTCCATAAATCTCGACGGGAAGATAAGAAGATCGATTCATGGTGCAAACTTACGTCGTGTTCAGTCAAGATGTTGTCCCCGATGCTGTTAATGTTGCGCAGCAGCGGCACGTCTTTGCCGCCCAGCTCGATCTGGCTGAACCGCTGCTGCAGCTGCTGGAACTTGGTGGTTTGGTTCGTCGTGGTCTTCTTGTTTTTCTCGTTCTGCTCGGTAATGACGATGCTCTTCGGCCGATAGTCTGGTATGGTTTCCGTCGACAGGAAGTGGAACTTCTTTCTGTTGTTGTCTAACGCGGGAGATTCGGCGTGTGGCTTCAACCTGCGCTGTTTTATCGCCGCTATGTCGATGATAGTCTCACCTGGATCAAAATTCAACAGACTGAAAATAATCTCCATTTTTATTTGCCTGCTGACGTTGACTTCCTCAGATCCTAACGGAAACGGGTTGGTATTACACTCTGTACCTGCTTATATACTGTTTGAGTGAGGCGGAGCAAAGGGAGGGACATGCATGACTGATGACTGATTCCCATAGTATTATTTTCAGATTTCTATGTATTCTAGGATTTTTCTTTGCTAGAAGAAGATCTAATATTCTAGAGCCTGGACGCATTGTTGAAAAATCTCTATCTCTAACGCAAAATAGACATAGTTATTTTAAAAGCAGATAAAGGAAGTCCTACGGTAGTCATAAACACAACTGACTATCACGAAAAAATTCAAAATATTCGACGAAAACTGCAAATTCAAAAATTGTAGGTTTTGACCAATTTGCCATATTTTTTACGATTTTTGATTTGCGGCTAATAATTTACTCTGTAAAAAAACAATTTTCTAGGTCTTTTAGATTTTTGCCTATAATTTGAAAACCCTGTAAATAACCGAAAAAATGCCCGAAATAAATGTTATTGCACTGGATCTTCTGCGTCTGCCGGTTAAAGAATTTTGCCAATCGGATGAACGATTATGGAGGAAACATATTTTTCTGGAAGCTAAAATTACCAAAAAAAATTTTTCAAACATTTTAAAAAAATACTTGGTAAAATTGGATTGCGCCCAATTTCTACCGTTTAAATGTGGACACGAACTTTTACTTCTTTGTTGAATTTGAAGTTGATATCTGCAAATTTAGGACACCTAACACTTTTTTCATTTAGCACGGAATATCGGGAACACCCTGTACAATAGGTGAAAACCTTTTTTCTGCCTATGCGGGCTATATCGTAATATAAAAAGTGAGATCTGAATCATAGTCTTTCAGTTATAACCAATTTTTCAGTTTTTTTGAATTTGCGGCGCATCCTGTATATTTTTGAAAAATTGTCAAAAATAAAAGTTTATAGAGCCGTATCTTCTGCGTCTTCTGGTTTAAGAATTTTTTTGGTCTCGTAAACAGTTTTTGAACAATGATGTTTTTTGTAGACCCTTGCATACGGGATTTTTTATTTTTTTAGAATACTTCCCGACCAACCCCCCCCACCCCCCCAATTTTCAATAGATTCCGTCTAGGGGCAAAGCTGCATATATGTGCCAAATATGAAGTCGATTGCTTCAAACTTCGAACACATCGTGTTTCATAGCAAGGTTCAAAAAACAGTCGAAAATCCCGAAAAAAAGATGGATACCGGCGTCGGAAAATTTCAATTTTGTAGCTCCAACGGTTCAAAAGTTATTCAGGAAAAACCAAAAGACGAGAACGGAGAACGGACAGACAAAAAAATTTTCTGTACCAACGGCGATGAGTCCTATGGGACTGATCCGTTACCGAGATATAAAATTTGTATACGAGCGCAGATACTTTCGAATAATTCGATTTCATCGATTTTCGAAAGTAACAAAATACGAAAGTAAGCAATTTTGTGACTCACCGGCTTTCATCGACATAAGTATCGGGGGTGCGTTCGCGCCTTTTATCCACTCCTGCGCGGACATTGCCGGTTTGGGGGCAGCCGTGTTGGGATAAAGGTCCTCGTGGAACTGGTCGCTTTTGCGGGGCACCACCATGCTTATGGGCTCGCACAGTCCTTTTGTCGCGTGCAACTTGTAGAAGCGGTAGATCTCGCACTGACTGGTGCGCAAACCGCGTTTGGGCATCACTCCTAGGCCTCTCTGAAGTGGAAAACGCCCACGTTCTCCTGCTGCGCCCGCTCAAAACGCAAGAAATTATTTACCTGCGGATTGCCGGAAATCACTTGACTCAAGTAGTGGATGTAGGGCGGCTCGTCGGATATCTCGTAAAAGCGGATGTTGCCGTCTCCTTTTCCCGCCAGGAACACGATGTTGGTGTCCGGATCGTAAAACGGGAACACGATGCCCGAGGAACTGTCGATGGTGTCCGAGAAAAGTGGTTTGGACAGTTCGTTTTGGTCCCAGACCGCGTACCGCCTGTCCGAATAGCGGGAAAAGCCGGTGGTGAGGAGACGACCCGTCGAACCCAAGAATACCACCTTGCTGGCCTTGGAACCGTCGTGACATATCCCCTCCTATACCAGTTTGTTCGTGGAGTCGAAACTTAATTCTGGACCGGCCATTTTCCTTTTCACTCACCGATTTGACGATCCCGCTTCGCGGCTCGATGACGCGCAATCGCTTGTCCTTGCACGTGGTCGCCAAAAGGCTGCCGTCCCTGTTCAGGGACATCGAGTGGATGACGTCGCGATGGCAGTCGATCACGTTGATCGCTTCACCCTTCTCTATGTCCCATACGATTATCTATAATCGCAATAATAGGATGTGATAAACAATTAAATAATCCCAGAAAAGCAATAGGGGTGAAGTCCATTCAAAGCAATCCTGAAGGAATTTCGTTTGGCAGTTTTGAAATCCGTGTCACAAGCCGCGTCAAGATCAAATTATTTAAATTTAGCGGAAAATTAAATCGTTTCAAAATATCCTAATAATTTGGCGAAAAAGAGCAAGCCTTTATTTATGAATAGAAACAAGCGATTTAAGTATCTGAAAATTTTTAGTTAGGTAGGTAATTATTAAGTCTTATTGTTTCGTGTGGCTGATGCATTACATATTTCTTTAAGATCGGTGCATAAGCTTGTTTCTAGAGGCATCAAAACCGATCATGAACATAAAGTTAAAGTTTAGACCAGTCAAAACGCAGCACGCGAAACAACCATTTATAAAGTACACGAGCATAGTATTCGGAGACGGTGTGAAAAATATTTGAAACTTTCCCTTTTTCCAAATGAATAATGTAATTTGTGGCACTGCTTCTTGTGCGTAAAGGCGAAGAAAATCCATATAACTTTTTAGTGGTTTTTGAATCGAATCACACATTTTAATAATAAGGATAATTAATACAGTACTTGAGGTCGGAAATATCTGATGGAACAACCATAAACGGCTGATATTTTTCAAAGAACACATGAAAAATCGGAATGATGCGTTTTTGTTCAACCCAGTATTTTTGGAAGAGACTTGGATGTTTATTAGTAAAGGAGCGTCTAGAACAAGCTGGCAAGATGATTCTCTACAAAGAGTTCGGGGAAGGAGTTCGCTATTTAGTTTTACATGCTAGCTTCAAAAATGGCTTTATGGAGTGTGCCAGTCTTATTTTTAAATCGGGCTGCAAATCTGGGGACTACTTTGATTTAATGAACGAATCTTCTGGATTCCTCCTGGGTCGGTCATTGGTGAATCGAACTTCCTGACGTTTCGGCAAGTATCCTGTTGGCTTCTTCAGAATTTAACTAAAACTGGCTCGCATTCTACTCTACACCTGCTTATATATTGTTTGCGGAGCTAAGTGGGTGGCATAAACGTTGTTTTGGTTGGTTGATTGGTGATAAGTTGAGTCGCTGATAAAGATTGTTTGGTTGTTTATAGATTTCTATAGATTTTCGGATTTTTCGTCGGTAGGAGAATTGATTACATGCAAGAGTTTTAGTTTTATCGAATAAAATTTGGTGTCCGGTTTCGTCACCTTACATCTGCTCTTACAGATATTAAACGTTTTATCACAAAATGTACCTCACTACAACCGAGCAAAAACAATGAGTCCGAAAGCAACCCCACACTTGCCACTGTTGTCCTTACTCACATTCAAAACATCACTGACCATATATCAGAAGTTCTTAAGCGCTATAACGTCAAAAGCAGATTTACCATTCTCAACAACTTCGATTCGTCAAAGACACAATTCCGTTTGAGATACCAGTTTACAGCATTCCCTGAATCTGCGGCACAGAATACATTTGAGACACCGGCGAAAAATATTAACGAGGCTCAAAGAATATGAAAGAGTATTAATTCTTCGACAAATAAACTCATCGGTAGTTGCCGAACACAATTACGAAACCGGGCATCAAATTTTATTTGATAAAATTAAAATTCTTGCATGTAATTAATTCTTCAACCAACGAAAAATCCAAGAATCTATAGAAATAATAATAATAAGAACAATAATTAATGTTTATTCACGTATTTATATACAATGAAAAGGACACGGTTCAGATGAACAACATAAGATATTTTGAGCCTCCGTTTTTAAACTCATCCTAAGAAGAAGGTAGCAGCGCTAGACAGGAAAAATACACATAAAAAGAAAAAAATAATAAATAAATACGTAGTACGATCTGTGCAAACAGAGGGACTTACACATTGGAAATAGTTTACAGTAGACATTACTTAAATACTTAATGATAATAAAGGTATTGTTTAGCAATTTAAGAGACTGATCCAATGCATTATATGTTGTAGCCATGTTATATGTAAAGGATATTTCAAAAATTCCAGAGGTGTGACGTGAGGGGTGAGCAGGCCTTTAAATCTTAAATTTAAATTGTGAACGTCCGTGCGAAAGCTGATTTTTTGAAAAGATAGCGTGAAGACTTCAATCTTATAACTTTGTGATAAAGATTATATTTATAGAGATATCGTCGATTTTTCATATTAAGCCATCGGACATCCTTCAGTTTATGACTAACAGGCCTGCCGCGTTTAATCCCAAGGATGAATATTAGACAGTATTTCTGGATTTTGAATCCGTTCTAAGGCAGCCGCTGTCAGACATGGGCTATAGACGACGTCACAGTGGTTAAAAGAAGATAAAACTATCGAATCACACAGGACCTTTTTTATTGATTGACTTAAAATATTTTTAGAACCATATAAGCATTTTAAGTGAGCAATGGATTTTTTAATACACTGTGTAACGTGACCATTAAATCTTAGATTACTGTCGAGCATAAGCCCGAGGCTTTTTGCCTCCGTTTTCAGAGGAATGCACACATTGGATATTTTTCTTTTAACTAGTTGAGATAATCGATCAACATCCACGGGCCTACCAAAGAACATTGCTATAGATTTTTTTGGATTTAAATGGAGTGAAGGTTCTAGGGACACCCTGTTAATGATTTCTAGATCATTACTTATGATTTGACAGCTTTCCAAAATTTTATCTCCCGAAAATGAGTAATAAACTTGTGTATCATCTGCACACATTTGGGTTTTGCAATGCTGTATAAAACTAGGAAACGCGGACGTATATATACAGTATAAAATTGGCCTCAGAATGGAGCCTTGAGGCACTCCAGATATTATAGCACGACAGTTTGCTGTCCATTTACAACACTGTGTGTACGACCTTGTAAGTAGTTCCCCATAAATTAGACAGCATCCTCATCAAGCCCTATGCATTTTAGAATAGTTAGCAAAGTATGGTGATTCAAGGTATCAAACGCCTTAGAGTAATCCAACATGACTTGACATGATTTCATTAACGTTACGGTGTTGAGGTGGAATATTTGATCTTTCCTTTGTGCAAATAATATTACGATTTTTTAAAGATTTCCACACTTCTTTCGAACTTCGATTTAAAACATGTTGCATATAGGCCTTTTTTTCCTTTTTAATTGTCATACTTGTAACATTTCTGAGACTTTTTTTTAAAGGTGCGCGCAGATCCATTAACGTGTGAATATTATCATTGAAAAAGGTTACCTTATCCTCAATATTATCAATATTATATATGTTTCGCCACGGAAGCGACTGTAATTGGTCATACAAGAGAGTGAGATTAACCTTATTTAGATCCCTAAATGTACGAAGTGGAGCTCCTTTAGCTCCGCCCTCCTCAAACAATATATAAGCAGGTACGGAATAGAATGCCAGCTAGTTTCAGTTAAGCATTGAAGATGCCAACAGGATGATTAGCGAAAAGTCAGCAAGTTTTCGAAACAGTAAATTGAATAATTTTTTTTTTAATTCCTACCAACTTTGTGGGATTGACCGTCAGATTATTCTTTATCATGAACTATCACAACAAACGGATGGTGAAAACGACTGAGGAAAAATTAAATCAATTTGTTACAGGAAAAGACAATTAAAAGTGTGTGGGTATATTATAGAAGGAGTCGACGATTTTGAGGTTAGAGGAACCTTACAGCGAGAGATGAACGAGAATGCAACTGTGACCATCTAATTAGGCTAATAAAATATTGACGAAGTTTTCACATTAAGACGAAATAGTAATCATGAAATCATGTAATGTTAAAATAGCAGATGGTATGTTGGAGCTATTGTCTGTTTTTGAGTTATAAGATAACTTATTTTATTTATGAACTGTGATCTATCATTCTCGCTAATCGGTTTTAAAATGCATTTACACTAGAGCCAGTAATGATCTACAAGCGCGTTGCACGGGTATACCACCCGATTTGACTTTTGACTTTGACTTTTCTTTGTTGGATTTTTTTGTAAGTTGGTATGGTATCAACATTACACATACGACGTCCACTTTTTATTTTAAATGTCTCTCTTTTAGATCTCCCCTATGACTTCTTTCTCTTAGACCTGTGAGATGGAATTTGGTTAATCTTTCAGTGTAGCTCATGTTTTGTAATTCTGTTGGAATTTTAGTCACACGTCTCTCGATTTTTTCTAGCATTTCTATATCTTTAGTATAGTATGAATCCCACAATGTGTACGCATATTCGAGTTTTGGTCGAATATAGCACTTATAAAGCTGTGCTATCATTTCTATTGAGTAGTCTATAAAAATATGGTCCTGTTCAGTAATACATTCTTTACTGGGGTTGCGTGGGCCGATTCTGAGTACATTAAGTTTCATGTCCTCATGTTCTCAACTCTATTTAAATCTCCTTGGAGTTTCGCTGGATCAAGATTAGCATAGAGCTAACACAGAACCCTGAACTAATTGTTAACTGTCCCCAAAGAGCTGACTCAATACTCTAACTGACTAAAGCTCGATGGAAGAAAACTAATTATTTGCAAAGCCATACGTGTAATCAAAAATTAATTAGTGGAAATCTTACCAAATGGTCGAAGCCAGCGCTGAAGAGCACGTTCTCGGCGGTAGGGTGCCATTCGATGTAGGCGACTCGCCTCTTGTGGCCCTGCAGTTCCACCAGCCAGTCGGTGAGGTGGACGGCCAGACCATCGTCAGGAATGTGCCACAGTTTAATCTGAAACCGGTAGTATTATGACCGATCTGTTTTAATATGTACGAAAGGAAACCCACCGTACAGTCATCGGAACAGGACGCGATGACGTTGTCATTGAAAGGGTTCCATTTGATGTCCATTATGGGCCCCGAATGGCCGGTCACTTTGCTCGCGTTGAAATCCAACCTTCCGGTCTGCAAAAGTTATAAGAAAATGGTAAATACAAAACTTGTAAATTTTGTTAGGAAGCAAAATGTAAAATTATTCGAAGGTATACAGGGTGACTCAAAAAACATTTTTATTAATAATACATACCTAAACCTAACATTTTAAATGGAAAAATCTCGATTTTCCACCTTTTATATTAAGTTTGTGATATACCTATTCTTAATACTATTTTTAAGACAATTACAACATTAGTTGGCCATGACAAAATTACCTTGTCAAATCAACTGAGTAAATAAATTCATAAAATTTATTGCGGTTTCAGCAAATTAAAAAAACTCGCCAAAACTAAATATGGATTTTCTTAAAGCTGAATTAATTGATATGATTGATATATTGAGTAAGGCAGCAAAAAATCCTTTGTTGATAGTAAGACTTTACAAGCCGAAGTGCCCTAAACTAACTAGACAATCTCTTCAGTGTTTAATGAAACGGTTTGATGCTAGTAATACTATTGAATATGAAAAACAGAAAGTGGTAAACAAGGATGCTACCTACCAATGAGGAAAAAGAATTGGAAATTTTACTTAAACTTCAAGATAATCCCCAGGTCAGTAGCCGTCAAGTAGCTAGGTTATGTAATACTTCTTAATCTACCGTTAATCGTACCATTAGAAAATATAAACACAGAACAGAGATCAGAGGTAAGGTGTTTTAATTCTTGGTTCGCTGACTCGGACAGAGATAGTTTTACGGCTCTTCTGTCTAATAATTTCCACATGAAAGATATTAAGCGTTCCATCACAAAATACACGTCCCCACAACCTTCCAATAGCAATAAGCCTGAAAGCAATCCCACACTTGCCACTGTTGCCCTTCCTCACATTCAAAACATTACTGCCCACATACCAAAACTTTTAAAGAAATATAACATCAAAACCAGATTTACCACCTGTCCAAAAATCTCTCAACATCTTCGATCCGTCAAAGACGAAATTCCATTTGAGATGCCAGGAGTTTTGCAGCATTCCATGCATATACGGTAAAGAATACATTAGAGAGACGGGACGTAAAATATCAACAAGGCTCAAAAAACATGAAAGAGCCTTAAGACAAAGACAAATAAACTCATCAACAGTTGCCATATTTATACCCCTCATTTAGCTCCGCCCCCCTCAAACAATATATAATCAGGTATAGAGTAAAATGCGAGTCAGTTTTCAGGAATCCAGAAGTTTTGTAAATAATAATTTTAAAAGCAATATAAAACAAAACTTAAAAAAGGTATTCTCCATTTTAAAAAAGGATGGTTTATTCGTCGTGATTTTTGGGCCACCCTGTATACTTTAAAATAATTTTAAACTGTGCGTTCCAAAAATTTTTACAACTTTTGTATTTACCATTACACATTACACCCTGTATATTAGGCCAGAGGGTAAAATGGTTTTTCTTATAGCATATAGTACCAAAAGAAAAATAAAAAGAAATGGAAATAACGAAAAGTGTAGGCGTTCCTATTAAATTTTCGAGAATTGCAGGAAGACATAATATGACATTTCTTGAAGTATACACTTGAGCCTAATATTACTACGCTGTGCTTCATTCTTTGTGGCTTTTAAGCCTTCACTACGGCTTTTAAACCTTCGAATCGATTTGGATGAGACGCGTATCAACAAAAAAAATAGAAACAACGATATAATTTGATTAATTAAAACCGGCCATGTTTTTTTATGACCACGCGAATGAAACAATCGTAAGGCGCTATACAAATAAAGAAAACAAAGATGTATCGATTGAATGACGTCAATGAACGTGAACCATTAATATTCATATTTTGGAAACGGATTTGGTTTGGATTTTCGAACGGACTCTGAACATCTCTAATTGACACACATTGACGATCAAAAAATTACAATTGTTCCCATAATATAATTGGCCGACGAAGCATAATCTATCAAAATAACGGTATGCGGAAAGCCATATGGCAAACGTTCAAAAATTCCTAGCGTCAATGGTTTTTGTCGAACGGTTTTCTAAAAAATAATTATTGCAATCAATCCGCGACGAACTTTCTCCGAATTAAAACCCGAAAATGGAAAATGTGCAAACATCTGGCCCGTGCGACGGAAAAAACGTTTTTTAATTGACGTAGACGAATATATTATTGATAACCATGTAAATGATAGCCTAGGGTGTCCCACAAGTAATGGTACATGGGAGATTATTTGGGTTGTGCCTGACATGTCTCGAAAAGTGCGCCGGACCGCCATCTTGCACGTAAATCATTGGATACATCATCCAGACAATCGGCGAATTGAGTTTGTAAAAAAATGCAAACTATGCAATTATCAGTTATTCCGCAGCAAACGTTTATTTTAAATTCCTGTTGGAAATTAAGTTCAGTTGTCAAATGGGGATTTTCTAGATGGTTATAGAAATATCTGCGTGTAAATGTTGCTTCATCTGTAATAGTATATTATGCAACAAGTGCGGTAAACGGCATTTGACTCACGAGTTTATTTGACACGAGCGGAGCTATGCATACTATACTTTTTCTACGATCGTTAGTTTTTGGGTACATTTTCGCAAAATAACACGAATACATTCACTGACATGACCGTCAGAATTGACAAACGTCAAAATTCAAAGCGTGGAAAATATCTCCGAAAACATCCAATGGCTCCCAAATCCATGCGGTAAAATCCCGTAAATATCCGAAGTGGCTCGGATTCGTGGGAAACGAAACTGACGTGGTAAAGTGACGCTTCCCGCACGCTAGATCGGAGGGTAATTAGGTATTTTACAGAGGGGAGTAGAAAAATATTATTTTATTTAAAAACATTGGATCGGCGTTTTGCCGGTCAAAGCCTACTTCCAAAAATTTTTCACGTATTTCGTGTATATTGCAGAGCCTACTTCGCACTCTTTAACTGTCTTTTATTGCGATTATGTTAGTCAGAGCCTACTTTCTGTATTGTTCAATTAGGTGTAACGAAAATTTCAAAAGCGAATTTCTCGAAAACGGCGATTCGGGGCAAAATTTAAAAGGTTTAAAAGTAAAAAACCTGTAAAAAAGTTAAAATTCTGCATACACTAAGGCGCAAAAAAGGTTAGGAAGTGTCAAACGCATGAAAAGTACCATACGTAAAGCCCTCCACCATTTGGTCACATTTTGGGCAAAAAAAATCAAAAATGAAATTGCAACTCTGACGCTCGAACCGTAATATTTTTACGCAACGAATCTCCTATTTTACCATGTACCGGATAATCATTTATAATATCCCCTCCGCCCCCTATAACTTTTTTATTTTACGTTTGGGAAAAAATGTCAATAATATGTCCTATACCCAAACCCAATAGTTTTTGATATATATGCGCTTTTAACATTAAAGCGACACTCAAAAATAAAATAATATTCTAGGTGCTTGTGAAGTAGGTCGTCACTTAAAAACAAAAAGTTTGTTTATAACTGACCGTGACAGATTTAGCAAAACTATGCTCCTTTTATCATACCCAAAAACCCTTATTCGCAAAGGGAAAAATAATGAATTTTGGAACTACGTGTAGTTAACCCTAGATTGCATGTTTAGCTTAGCCAACAAGGAGAGAACATTTCTCATAATATTATATCCCAATACCTAAATTCTTAATTCAATACTAAAATTCCATAGTTTTTGAAATATTAATTAAATAGGTATGCTCAACTGCTCCCCCATTTTCTCCAATAAATCTGTTCCTAAACTTTTTAAAGCGGTAGTGATCGAATGGGAATGAAAATGCTTCATTTAGAATTTAAACTTTTGTTCTAATCAGTTTTTTTAGATGCTCTCTCTTTTCGATGGTGTTTGCGTTTACACACGACTTTCGGATTTAGCGCGAGAGGTGGGTGGTCATTTTATTGATCCATCTTTTCCCCTCCATTCCATTCATTAAACCCTGAAGTTCCTTAGTTGTTCCAATGGAAGCTTGTCCATATAGTTTTAAAGTAACGCCGAAGAAACAAGGACCTATTATCCTGTTCTTCTTACAATGAAATTTCCTGTAGGTATGAGAATTTACTGATGCCAGCTGTTTTTTCGATTTATCATACCACTAGTTGAAGATCTGTCGTTCCAAATGAAAATCATTTCCGTTACTGTTTTCTAACATTGTATAGGAAAACTCAGCTCTTTTATCTCGATACCTGGGAGTTTTTGGTATGGTTTTTGGTTTGAATCTTCCCAGTACGATGTATTTTTTCGATCAATCAACTCTTTCTGGCTTTCCGACACTTTTAATAAAATATTTAAATCACAATCTTTACCTCGTTCTAATGTTCTCCTCTTTCTGGCTAGGCTGGGCGTTTGTTTAACTTTCTCATAGATTTGATGAAATATTTTTTTTTGACTTGAACGTGCATTCGGGGGGTTAATTACACGTATTTATTTATTTGCTTTAACAAACGCTTCCTAAAGTAATTGTTTTTCTCTTTCGCAATAAGGCATTATATAACAAAAAGAGAAGAAGAAGAAATGTTCTGCTACATCTGTAACTGGTAACTGTCACTGTCAATTACGAATAAACATTTTGTTTTTGGTGAAGACGTACTTCACAGCCATTAATTCTTAATATAAGTGTACATATACAGGGCGTTTAATTAAAAATATATAACTTCTACCACAATTATTTCTATAATTACTTTCTTTTTCTTTTGTTTATATTTTATTGTTCTTCACTACGAGTTCTTTTGTTACAAATTGTATTGTTAAATAGGTGCATAATATATAGCTTAATTGTGTTGGGTTAATTTTTAGTAGCTGACGTGCATCTCAAATCTCAATAAAGACTATTATTATTATTAATTACCGCTGTAGGGTTATAAATTTAAATTTAACAACGGAGACGCATTTAAATCCAATCGGTCATTAAGTAATAGATTCGACTATTTGGTTTTATTAATTTCCATAGCTTCCAAAAAAATTTGTTTTTTGTTTTTTGCTTCATTATGTAAAATATAAAAATTACCATCAAACTTGTACGTATCTGAATTTAAATGAATAGTCATAGTTAGGATCCGAACTTTTATTTTTATACACTCTTTTATGTCGGTTAATGCGTTTCATAAATGTGCTACCTGCTTGTCCGATATAAATTTTTGAGACATGATCCAACTAGTAGAGTCCGGAATTTTGAGTTTGCTGTTTTCAATTTCAGGTTCAGTTAAATAAAAAAGTTAAACTGGCGGACATTATAAATGATCATGATTACTTGATAACTCACACAGGTGATGGGAACCACGATGAAAGCGCCGCCCCCGGCGACCTCCGTAACGACGGCCAGGAATTTGGGGTTCACCGCGCAAAATTGCGAGTCGTGCGCGTTTTTCGTTATCTGGATGTTGTCGTAGCATTTGTCTCGTTTGGCGGGCTCGCCGTACACGTGCCGAAATTTGGAGCTCCTCACCCCCTTGAACCATACCTGCGTAAATAAAAAGAATATTATTAGATAACTTACGGCCATTCTTGCCAATTGGTTAAAATAACTAGGGTAAAACTAAATTTAAGGGAGGTGACGTCTAAGCTTCCGGTTATGCCTTCGCCATCCTAGGGAAATGTTGCCTATATTGAACCGCATGCTAAGTTAGACCACTGCTATCTGTCCGAAAATATTAAAGCAAACGACGATTTGGCTACACTCTATTGTAAACCTAGCTTATATCCACCAGTATGGAATACACGCGTTTTGAAATTATAGTCTATTTATTATTATATTGGGTTGTTCGGAAAGTCATCTCGTTTTTTTTGGGGAACATGAAAGACAGTTTTCGTATAATGAATAAATATTTTATTAAATTATATATTGGCCATTCTGGTCCAACACCGTTTGCCATCTTTCTGGCAGTAACATAATTCCCCTCTCATAAAAGTTTTGGTCCTTGCAGGGACCGGAACAAATAGTAGTCGGAAGGCGCCAGATCTGGAGAATATGGTGGATGTTGCAGTACGTCCCATTCAAGCTGTAAAAGTTTTTGGCGAGTGACCAAACTTATGTGAGGTCTCGCATTATCCTGGTGGAACACTACACCCTTCCTGTTGATTAATTCGGGCCTCTTCTCTTTAAGTGAATCATTCAATTTGTCCAGTTGATGACAATAGACTTCTGAATTAATCGTTCCCACCAGACGGAGAGCATCACCTTCTTTTGGTGAATGTTGGCTTTTGACGCGCTTTGAGCCGGTTCATCTTTTCTGCTCCATGACCTCTTGCGTTTAACATTGTTGTATACAACCCATTTTTCGTCCCCAGTAGTGATCCGCTTCAAAAATGGATCATTTTCTTGACGTTTGAGGAGCGAATCACACACGTCAACGCGACGACACAAATTTCGCTCGGTAAGGACATGGGGCACCCCCACATCGAGCTTCGAGGTTAAGCCCATGCCTTTCAAATGGCCATAAACAGTCGAATTCGACAAATTTAATCTCTCACCGATCTCTCGTGTGGTTATTCGCCGATTTGCATCAACTAATGCCTTTATCGCATCTTTGTCAGCTTCGACCGGCCTTCCAGACCGTGGTGCATCTTCGACATCAAAATTTCCGGATCGAAATTTTGCAAACCAGTTCTGGCACTGGCGTACTGTTAACACGCCTTCTCCATAGACATCCGTCAATTTTTTTCTCGCTTGGACAGCATTTTTACCTTTTCTGAAGTAAAAAAGTAAAATATGACGAAAATGCTGCTTATTGCTCTCCATATTTAAAGGGGCACCAACCAAAAACTACTGCGTAGAATTAATAGAACTTTTTCACACACAAGCCTTGCAATATCAGCTCTCAAGACATATAATGGTTATGCGGCTTAAGTGTGAAGTTGGTTAAAAAAAGCGTAATTAAGTCCTCTGACGGGAAAAAACGAAATGACTTTCCGAACAACCTTATAGTTTAGTGAATTTGTGAGGCGTTATCTAATATTTCAAATTGGTTCCAAAGAGGTCCCCAGTGAAACAAAATTTCAATTGCTTAACATTAAACATAAGAAACATGAGTAAAAGTCATGGTTTCTTAAATTGGACCAGCACCTGGTTGCCAAATTAGGCGACCATTGAAGATTATGTTGTAGGTTGTTAGTTTTATATGAATCGTTTGACATTGGCACCAAAACCATTAATTAAATTTATAGAATTTTGTACGCAGGAAATCTGCTTGCTTAGTATGTTTTGCAAATATAACTATTAAGTATGAAACACCGCCTTACGTCTGTTACAAACTTACTCTTAACTTACTCTTGACTGTTTCTCAACATCATAAAGAGAGCAGTAAATACATTCCACAGTCAAACACTACACCACCGCCCCCAACCTCAACGGTCCCGCTCCTAATCCTTTTACTTGTATGTCGTTTCTCTTCGTTTTTTGTCTTTCTTTTTTCTTTCTTGTTTTTTTTATAGTTTTAATTTTTATTCTGACTGCCCCTTATGTTAATTTTCTTGGTACATAAGATGTCCAGATGTCTGCTGTTTACGCTCTTGATAAATTACATGTACAGGGTGCGACAAAAAGGTAGGCAGGATTTCAAATAGTGGATGTTTGGTTTGTAAAACCGGCAACACTGTGTACGCACTCGCGTTAGGCAGACAAAAGTATGCAATTTGCAGTTATCGACGTGACTTGGAGCGGAGTGCATCGTGCTTTCGTTGTCGAGGAGTTTACTAGAAATGGGGAATCTGTAATAAGCGCGCCTTTTGTAATCAGTTTGATGTTGGTCGGCATGGCGCGGTTCCGGATGGAAGAACAATTCGTCGGTGGGTTTTACACTTCAGGGAAACAGGTTCTGAGCTTAACCGAAAATCTACTGGCCGACCAAGGACAGTAAGAACACCCGAAAATGTGAAAGCAGTAAGGGTTTCCGTACAACAGTCTCTAAGGCGTTCAGCTCGTAAGCATGCAGCTGCTTTGGGAATTCCTGAGAGAAGCGTCCGAAGAATTTCAACTCACTCCAATTGCATCCGTACAACATGATGTTAGTGCAGGAATTAAGCGCAAGAGATTTTGAAACCCGTACAAATTTATGCCGGGATATTCTTTAAAACATTCCCAGAGGCGCTGTATTCACCTTTCACCTCTCGGGTACCGTAAATAAGCAAAATTTCCGTTATTGGTCAGCAAATAGTCCACAGGAACTTCATGAGCGACCTCTTCACAGTCCAAAAGTCACCGTCTGGTGTGCAATGTCGGAGTTCGGCGTGTGGGGTCCTTACTTTTTCGAAGAAGATGGAATAACGGTAACAGTCAACGGAGATCGATATTTTGATATGCTTAAAAATTTCCTGCGTCCAAAAGTGAACGAGTTGAACAACGATCAAAGAGAACATCCTTGGTTCCAGCATTATGGTGCTACACGTCGTTCACTAAATCTTGTTCAAGAGTGCATCGACAATAATGGCCGTCATTTAAAAGACATCATTTTTTAAAAATAACGTTCCTAAATGGTATAAAATATACATTTCGAAAATAATTTTAAAAAAATGTTCGCTTTATGTAGTTTGGTTTTTATTAACATCCCAAATAGTACCTATCATTTTGCCGCACCCTGTATATATATATACAGTTTTCTCTCCCGAATTTGAGGAGAAAATGGCTAAACATATTCTTTATCTTGAAAAACTATTTTTTCCAGCTTTATGAGCAGGCATCCAAGCCTTACACTTACTAAGACAAACCAAAACTAATCAACTTCTCTTGCCAGATGCGAAGGTTTTAATCGTGAAAATGTAGAAAGTTTCTTCGATCTTCTTGAAATAATAATAATAATTTCGACTCGACAAAACTATTTAATGTAGACCAATGCGGATCCTCCACGGTGACAAAAAATATCAGAAGACCTTAGCCTTGAAGGGAAAATATCAAGTAGTGGAGAATGACTTGGTTGCCTTGAAGGGAAAACATCAAGTAGTGGAGAATGACTTGGTTGTGTGGAAAATAATGAATCCTGACTTGGGCGGATGGTCAATAGAAATATCCGATACAGGGTACAATTAATGTCAAGCTGTTTGTGAACTGGTTGGAAACATTCATTCAAGCTGGAAAACCTACCAAAAAAACAGAGTTCTTTTAGTTCTTGATGGCCACACCACACATTGAAAAAATATTGAGGCGATCGAACTGGCACGTAATAATGGTGTCATCAAGTTACAACTTCCAGGGCATACAACCCACAGAGTACAACCTCTAGATGTCGGAGTTTTTAAACCACTAGAGCTTTACTACAACCAAGGAAATAAGAAATAGCTTAGAACTAATTCTGATCTTGCCGTGCCTTAATATCAAATGGCTAAGAATATTAAGTAAGTAAACAAGCAGATGAAGATTTGTCAGAATCTGAAAACGACGTTAATCGAATTTCCTAAAAATAAAACTTCAAAAGAAAATATGAAATTGGAATTTGAACCAACGCGAACTCTGAATAAACACTCTAGTTTCCTCAAAAGCAGAGACAGACGTAGAAATACCGGCGACAAAATATGTGTTAGAGCCGCCATTCACACCAAAGAACAGTTTCAGAAACAGAAACATCAACGTCAAAAATATGAATCCCAATCATCCTCAGAGTAGTTTCGCTCAATAGTAAGTTGATCATTACAAAATTAAACACATTTGTGCTCGAAAGGCTGCTGTTATCACAACTACTCCATATAAAGAGGAGTTAGAAGCTAAACAAATACCTATGTTGCAAGCTTTGTTCTGGAGCAGCCATGGACGATATGATGCAGTGAATAAGTGAATCATGTGTTAAAGTGCAATCAAAAGACAAATTTATGTGTGAGACTTTTAAATGCCTGACTAAATATTTTCTACTTTCAATCAAATAACACAGTAAGTGTGTAACATATCAATCAATATACATAGTTCAGACACTAGAATCGAAAAAATAAAAACCGTTCCAATATAGGAAACCTTCCCCTATCGCCAACATTGCACATCGAATTGTATTTTCCACACACCAAATTTTAGTCCACGTCACTATGTAATTGTTTTCGAAACCGTTAACTTATCAAAGCTTGGAAAAATTGTACGTGGTTTTAAAAAATCATCAGCGACAGTTCGGTAAATGATAAGTTAGTAGACAAATACCTCTCTAGTTTAGGGGGAAATTGCAAGTCAATTAAAAATTAATGCCATGATCCATATACCTAGAGTATCAAAACCAATAATTCCTGCAGAATTCAAGTCAATTAATTTGCTACCAGTAGTTGATCAAATTATAGAAACAATCGTGTGTCAGTTGCTCAGGAAATCAGTTATTATTCGTTGAACAGTCTGGAAGTAACCACTCGTGCGAATTGGCTCTCCAGCATAATTAAGTATGACCTTTGCTAAACACGTGCTTGGTCTTGCTGATTCTTACAACGTCGCCCAGTTTAGAGTTAGGTGGTATTACAATTTTCAAGTGACTTATTTCGGCAAACTAGACGCGTTAC